TGTGGCCGCCAGCGCCAGAGATCCTGAACACTGTCTGGCAACACTTGCCAAGATCACGAACTCTGTCTGGCAACACTTGCCAACAAGAGTGGCTGGCAACGTCAAAAAAGAAAAGGCGCGAAAGTTCGTTGGATTTTGTCCGGGTGTTGCCCGAGGATGTCTGTGACAGTTCTAACCTTTTCTAATAAAGTTCTTTTTTGTTACTGTTCGTGTTTGCCTGCTTAATGTTAGATCTAAACATCAGTAGGATTGAATGACAAAATATCTTTCTTAGCTAAGATTGTATCTACTGTAGACTTGTTGAAGCCATATTGCCCAGCAACATCAGACATCTGCCCACTCTTTATCTTGGCTATTATCTCTTGCTTAGTTTCTATAGTGAACACAGTTCTTGACACCAGTCTTTTTAGGCTCCATAATATTATCAGTTTTTTAAAATAAAAAGTCAGAAAAGCACTTAATTTCTGTTCTGAATTTTTGTAACTACAAAAAAGGTTTTGTATACAATTGTGAAAGTCTCATTCAATAAACCATTCATAGATGCCATTAAAATATTTTTTTATGAATCTTAAACCCAATGTCGCTTTTTACTTGTGTTTGTTCTATGAGGTGTTCGTTATCCGAACATAAAAATCTTTTGTGAAAGTGTTCGTTATCCAATTTGGTCACAGTCCAAACTGTTTGTTAACCAATCACCCACTTTATTTTATTAAAGACCCAGTAATGTTGTTGCACGAAATGTTGGAATAGGCAATTAACTTCTGATTACTCTGTTAATGTCTCCAATTCACAGGAGTCATGATGCTGTTGATTTCCTTAGTTGCCAAGGTATAATTGATCAAACTTGTAACTAAATTATGAAATTGCCATTTTGGGCCCAGAAATTTTAAGATCTTCAACCACCTCACTGACAGAGAGAGTGAGAGAGTGCATAATTTGAAACTCAAGATGTAAAATTTGCATAATCCATCCAAGGTGACAAATGTGAGGCACTGGAAATAGCCCCTCCCCTTAAAAAAAAGAAAGACATGTAAAAATTTGTTATGTTAAATCGTCAGGAAAGCAAATTATAAATGTCGAATCAGCGACACTCGACTTTGATGTCGATGCTCATCAAAAGTTGACGGAAAAACCAAATTTTAGATGTAAAAAGAAAAAAATTTAAAATATTAAAACTTAAGACGCAGTTTAGAAAGCAAAACGAAACTAGATAAAAAAATGTCTAGGTGAGCAAAGGTGTCATAGTCAACAATTAAACGCGATCAGATTCGAAAAGATGGTGTCGGATAAACCATCTCCAGCCGACCTTTTCCACGAACTTAACGAAGCTCCATTTACACCTGGAGACAGGTGGATGACCAATTGGAAAACGATGATGTAAGATCTATCCAATTGACAAGGAGCCGATTGCAAAAACCCTATAAAAATGCAAAATTCAAGGACAACGGGACTTCCACTAAGACTTTTCCACCTAGACTACCTGTTGTGTTCGTTTGTCGACAGCTGTCGTGTTTCATCTTTTGTGTGCTGTCACTTCAGATCTCGAACTTCTCACTCGACGTAGTCACAGGGCCCCTCCAGCGTAGGACCAGATCGACACCGAAAACAACTTACGAAGACAACCCGAAATTCTGAACTTAAGGACCTTTGCCAACAAAAATTATGTAAGCATTATCGTCCGAAATAAACGGTTTACCTTTGTAAAACATTTGTCTTTGCTGCCTTTAAAAACCGCCACCCACATACGCTAAGACCTTAGACCATCCCGACGGTAGGGAATAAAAATCTCCCCCAATCGGCGTTCTTACACAAAGGCAGTCTTCTCCTATTCTTGTTCTACTTCCACCTGCCAGTAACTGGAATATAAAGCCATTGAGGAAAATAACTTTGCATTTTGTAGGCAGTCCAAAGCATTATGTATTCTTGGGAGCAGTTGATCTTTTCTCATGGTAGAATTTTATTTTTTTGGTAACTGACAATCTAATCTCTCTGGCTGAATTCTAACAAAAATGAGAAAAGTTCCAGGTAAAACTGTAGATTGTATGACCTTCTGGCCCAATTTATTATCCACCTCATTGCTAATAATCTGTTCAGATAGCAAGATTTGGTATTTCTGTTTGATTGGCAGGTGTCCCTACCAAACAAAATCTGCCAAGGACAAATTTTCTTTGGTAAGGACAGGAACTGTGAAAGATTTTTAGAATATAAGCCTTTTTAATTTAGGTGATGTTTGAGTTAGCATTAAGCTGAGAACATATTACAACCATTGTCCTTAGCATGGAAAATACATTATTTAGCAATGGTCCACTGACATCAGGTGTTTGTGAGTCACCTTTTGCTTCATTTCTCCATACTGAAGCTTATACTTCAACTAAAATTGCTCTGTAGTTCATTGGAAGTACTGAGCTCTTTTAACTCAATTAAGTGATGACTAATAACAGAGTTATTGTTATCATCATCATCGCCAAAGACTTGTAATTAAACATAATTTTTTTTAATGATGATGATGATCATTATTAAAAAAAAATTATGCTTTAATTAAAAGTTTTTGTCAATTTTCATAAAGTTTAGTACAAAAAAATGGTGTTTTCAATTTAGATTGGATTTATTGAAGAGATATAATTATTATATCACATTATAAGCAATATGACCAATCTCAATTTTATCCATTACTAGCACAAACCACAATGAGGTCAGTTAGCAGATTACATGAAAACTTTTTTACTTATAAAATAGAATTGAATAAGATCTTTAAATGGAAATTGTGTTAATTCAACTAATGAAATATTTATTTTTCATTTTGTTTGATTAAAAATAATTTTAAAAACGTACAGTAAAATTATGGAAAAATAAACAACACAAAACACCATATTCATTGACACTGAAAAAATTATCAATGATCCAATGCACAGATTAAAGCAACACCCCTTTTGATCCAATGATATTCTGGTAATTGGGTGGGTATTTCAACAAATAACAAAAAATTTGATGATTGACCCATAGTTGATAATGTACCTATAAAAATTTATGTAATTTAATTTAAATATTTTCAAATATTTAAAATATACAACCATTTACAAAAAATTTCTAATTACACCTGAATTTCCAATGTCATGCATGTTTTGAAGTTTATTATAAAAAAATCATTAGATAATGAAATAAATAACAAGAAATGAGAGAGATATTTTGATAACAGAAACATCAAGTATTTATAATGCTATTTTGCATTTTACAAGCAGGGGAAAAAATTATACAGGAATCCCTTGCTTAACACAGGATTTGATTAATGTGTGAAATTAATTGTAGCAATCTCTTTATATATGTGACAAAAGTTTCAATGTACATGGCTTTACCAGATTTCTTTATTTAATATAAATACTGTATTTTGATTAACACAATTTTGATATACGTGGTAGGATCGAGGGATACCCGTAAACAAAAAGTGAAGAGTAGAAAAAGTTCCTGATCATATAGTTTACAGGTAAAACTGATCAAGGGAGATTATGTTAATTGACAAATAATGCAAAGCTTAAAATGAATTTGCATACTCACATGAATGTCTGTATATGTGGTTTGAAGCAGATGATGATAATCATTTTTGAATAAAAATGGTCAATGGTATTTACATATGAAAACCATATTGAAGATACAAAAATTGCCTTCTTAAATCTATCATTCACAATCACCAAGAATCAAAAAGAGGAAAAAAAAGTTTTCATTCACAGAGATGACCTTTTATTTCAGGCTATGCTTCTGTAAAAAAAATCAAAACAGCAACTTTTACAGAGGCATAGCATTTAATAAAAGGTTGGCTCCGTGAATAAAAATTGATTTTTAGATTCCTGTGAATGATTTAATTTTTGAATGATAATTTTTGTAACTTAATTATTGTGATATTAAAACTATATTAATGTTTATAAAAATGATAATGCTATTTGTTGCAGTAGCAACTTTGTTAAACAGTTTTATGTTTAGAATAGCATCAAAGTCCTTTTATGTCCAGCAAACAGCCCAATCTCAACTCAATTGAGAATGTATAGCTAAAACTAAAACAGTTGATAACAAGAAAGAAACCAACTAACAAACAAACAAGAATTGTGTCATGCCATTCATGCTAGTGGATAGAAATACATCCAGACTTTTCCAAACACTGAATGCCTCAACAAATCAAAGATGTGATTCAATGAAATATCATTTTATTAATTCAATAATGAAATAAATTCATGTTCTGAATTTTCCGATGGTTTAGCTGTTTTTAATGTTGATTTAGTGAATGTCTCTCCAATCCGAAAAATCTTTTCAGTAGACTACCTCACAGCCAATTCAGGTTATAAACTCCTTTTATTGCTTTTTACAGATGCATTTCGAGCTAGGTTAATTTACTAGCTCCTCCTCAGTGCTACAAAATAAATTAAAATTTTAAAAAATTGATAAAAAACTTTAATTTATTTTGTAGCACTGAGGAAGAGCTAGTAAATTAACCTAGCTCAAAATGCATCTGTAAAAAGCAATAAAAGGAGTTTATAACCTGAATTGGCTGTGAGGTAGTCTACTGAAAAGATTTTTTTGGATTGAAGAGACATTCACTAAATCGAAATAAATTCATTTTTTGCTTCTATTTTTTTCTTTGTAAAATGAAGCATCATGAAAAATTAATATATCTATATCAAAATATCTCATTTCTTGTTATTTATTTAATTGTATAGTAATTGCTGCTTTTTGTAATAAACTTCAAAACGTGTTTGACTAAAAATTCAGGAGTGATCAGAATTTTTTTGCCAGAGTTTTATCATTACAGCTACTCACCATCACGCTTTAAAATTTTGTATACAGGACATAAATATCTGTTGGTTGCAACAAAATCTTTTTTAGCTTTGGGAATGAACCATATAACTGGCATCTCTAAAATTGTTAAAATTATAAAGTTTTATGAAATAATTCTATTAATTAATAATAAATTTTTCTCTTTCAATATGATATTTCACACAATGAAGTTAAATAAAATACCAATATATAATTCTCTAGGTCTGGATTCAGTGAGAATTTCACCATTCCATCTTGCTCCTTCAAGAAATAAACCATGAATATAGCCACCATTTGAAGGATATTCTGTTATACTTGACCTCAGATTTAATATCTGTAAGAAAAATAAATTATGAAAAAAACTTTTTCAGTATAGCTACAATTTTAAATAATTAATTTATTAATTAGATTCCTATCTATTATGAAACAAAAAAAGACTCACAAATAAATTTGCATATAATGATTTAAAAGTGATTCAATTGACATTAAAAATAATATCAAGTAATTCATGTAAAATAAGTTTATATACAATTTTATACTTACTTTGAAAGTAAAGTTTGCAGAATTAATTGATACAGAATATTTTCTGGAAAAATTCTGTAATAGTGCTGTAAGAAAAGTCTCAGGGAAATAAAAGCCACTTATCCAAAATATTTTTGGAATACCATCATCTATCCAGTTCTGGAAAAATTTAAGTCGTAATAACAGATCTGAAACCCAAGATGATAAATTCTTCAAAGATGGATATGCCTACAATTAAACAAATAAAATTTCTACTGCATTTCAAATAATTTTATACTAAGACAATAAAATCTTTACTGTAATAAAAAAAAATCATAAATTAATGCTGATAATTTCAATTTTCAGAAAAAAATCTAAATTTTATACATTGTTCCTATTCTGAAATTTTACATTATCAATCTTGCTTATTTTGGATAATAAAATAGAAAAGTTTTGTTTTATTTTATGAAATACACTATTAGCAGGCTTCGAAACATACAGCAATTCTTACAGTGTCATTAGGTGACATTTGATGATAGGGAAGCTGTGCCAGCTCTGGATAGAATCATTGAATGTGTTATATGATATTTTAGTGTGTAGCATCCACAAGCTAAACTGCATGAGGGTGGTGCTCTGTACAGCACATGCACGAATGCATATAATCTAGCTGCTTTACATGATTCAAATATTTTCGCTATGGAAGCTATTCTATATTTGACTATACAGCACTTCTTCCATTGGGAATATGCAAATTACGAATTTATATTCAAATATACAATAGCAATCTTATCATTGTTTTTCACATGTAGTATAGAAATTTCTAATAAGATACATAATGCAGTTATAATAAATAATTAATTTTAATTAATTCAAAGTACATTAAAATATAAAAATAATCGCACAATATGTATTTATATTTTAGAAAATACAAGGGAAGTGATATGATTTCTTATGTCTTTTTTCAGATGTATGTATTTATATACAACTTTGAGACAGTGATATGTAGAACATAAATGGAAAAAAATGAGCAATTACTTATTGTGACATTATTACAATGCTGGACTGCCATTTTTAATCATATAGACTAGAAGTTTGTATATAGTCAATCAGGCCTACAACTCTGAGATTTCCATATCTGGTTTCAATTTTCATCTACTTAACTCCATTCTCCAGATTTAGAAAGGACAGAAGGATTGATAGACAGACAGACAGACGACAAAGAAATCTGAGAGAGACTTCTGAATTTAACATTTTCATTAACTGATAGGATTTATACAAAAGTTAAATTATATATTGACATTATAATTCTTTGAAACAAAAAGAAAAAAAACAAGAAAATAAATTTGAAATTTTGAATCTGAAAACAAAATGAGTTAGAGTGTTTTAAAAATCAAGCACAAGTTTTGTTTACTGATTTGGAAAATATGTATTAATTTGAAATTTTGCAGGCCATTGTAAATTATGAATTACGTGAATCTTACCCTATCATAGTAATATTATTACATTTAATGCTTGCTTTACCGGTAACAATTGCTTCAGGAGAACAGAGTTTTAGTAAATTAAAAATTATAAAAAATTATTTCAAATCAAAAATGAGTCAGGAACGTCTGATCAATTTAAGTATTTTATCAATAGAATCTGAAATGTTTTGTGAAGCAAATTTCGACAATGCAATTGATAATTTTGCTCAAAGAAAATCTTGGAAAATAAAATTATTGTAAAAATGTGTTTTTGTATTGAAATAAAAGTATATAATATCTTGAGTGTTTTTTAGAATGGAGCAATTTTCATCCCTGGCCATAGGCTCCAAAATTCTTCACTATGTCTCTACTCTACAGTTGCTGTATTCATGCAAATAGTGCTTTTGTAGTTGTATGTGAATGTTCTGCCACCCAAACTAACAATTCTGTATATTGACATTTCTCTGCAAGGAGAGTGTATTTCATCTAGCCAAAACATTCATAAGCCAGACAAAGAGCCCTTGTTATAAAAGTTGCTGATTTTAGCAAAGTATCCTTTTTCTATAATCAGCAACTCTTAAGTCCTGAAGTTGTTGAAGTTTGTAAGGGTACCAAACAGTTGTATAACTGTTTATTCTTTGCCTATCACTTTGATATGCATTATGTCATGTGCACTGGCTTTCCTTGCTACAAAGATGCAGCCAGTTTTTCCACCTCCTCTGACATCATAGAACAGCTCTTTAAGAAGTCACTCAACATTGAGAAAGTATTGTACATTCACAGATACACTTTTGTTGAATTTCTCAACCATAAAATTCAAAGTTTTAACTAAAATTGATCTTCCATTCTAGGCTTACTGTTTGACTGAGTGATAAGACTGCAGCATTACATTTCTTTTTGATAGCACAGTTAAACAAGCAATGCTTTTGCATGGGATTTGATCTTGTATAATATTGTTTCTACTATGATTTTCAAAAACTCTTGATAATCTAATATTGTGACATCTTACTCAGTGAGATGAAAAGGAACAGCAAATTGACATAAAGTTTTCATGTCTATAAAAAAACTCCATATTTTCTGAGTATTTTCTAAAAAACTGACTAATCCCAATTATTTCAGGATTTATGAATTATTTAAATCATTTTAAAGTGTATATATGGTAATTATAATAGAGAAAAAAGTAAAAAGTGTTTTTTCTGAATCTGTACCTACTAGTGATGGGACTGAAACTGGCAGAAGAGGATTTAAATAGATATATTAAAATCTGTTAATTAATATTGAAATTTAGAAAAAATAAATGCTGATGAAAATTTGAAAACTACAGACAACTGTTGTGTTGTTAATTTTCTTTCCATAAAGTGTCTTTATGTTATAATGTGTTGGCAATAACAATTCAATTTTTGTTTTTCTATTAGTTTTGCTTTTAAGTGGAGAATAATGTTTTATTTCAAGTACTTTCTTTCTATGTTTCTCTTTCTACATCTCTCATACTCATACAAAAACAAAAGCCTTTGGATATTTAAAACAGGCTGTTGGAGATCTTTAATGCAAAGAATCTAATCTTTCTGCAGAAGCAAATAATCTTTTGCTTCTGCAGAATTGGCTCTCTAGGTAAAAAACTAATTAAATAATTTTGAATCACTTACTCTCAAACTTAATTAACTTTAATATTATTATGATTATCTTACTTTTAATGATGTTTACATGTTATTTTGATTTTTATGTTGTTAATATATTAAAGATTTTTGTTATATTGCTTTTGTTATTATCTGTAGCTTTTGCAAATTTTTATGTTTACTTACTTTTCCTTTTATTTAATTTCTTATCGTGTTTATGGTAATGTTGTAATACTGTAGCTATTTGTATCACAGAGAGAAGTTGATTGCCAATATGCTCCCTCTATATGATTATTTTTTTCAATTCAATTTTTTTTCAATTTTTGTTTTCCATTTAATTTTAAATTTACTACAGCTTTTTTCTTCAAGTAAATCTAAAATGAATGTAACTTCTAAATTATAAATTTTAAGCGGATATTGTCAACTTTAAAAAACTTGAAACTATTTCTTTTGTTTTCTTTGGATAAAGTATTTGGTTTTATAATCTTTGATATCTTCTATTTTTGAGAAAAATCTAAAAAAATGTATGGAAATGTGCTATATTTTGCCATTACAATTTTAGATTTATAAACGTTGTGCTTTACGTCTTTTCTTGCCCCCCCTTGCCACGTGGTGGATCCGACTTGGTGGAGGGGAGTTATGTGATTCTGGGGTGTGTAACTGTGGGTGGGAGTTTTATGGTAGGGTGTGCCTCAGGGGGAGAAGAGCAGAACGAAAGTGGACAAAGAACGGTGAAGTAGGAAAGTAAGAGTGGTGGTGAAAGTGTGTAAAGAAAAAGAAAAAAGACTGTGCAAGAAAGTCCGTGTAAGATTTCAGAATTTGGAACTGTTTTCTACCCAGAGTGAAGGAGAGGAAAGGATATGACAAAACGCCATTTCTGTCAGTATGTTTCTATGTATTCATGTTACATGTGCTTGATCAGTTTATTGTCGGGAGATTTTTGTTAACGTTACGCGATATACTAGATTTGTCAGACTCATTATTTTTCCTGTGTCTCATCTTTGTTTTAGGAGTNTATGACAATTGCAATTTCATTAACTAAAAAATTTTATTTTACTCTATTTTATTTTTTCTGTTTATTTATTGTCTTAACTAACTTTGGTTATTTCACTATTTAATAAAAAAAATGTGTGATAAATTTTCCCTTATGACATATTCACTTTTCTCCTTTCATAGTATGTTTCTATGTATTCATGTTACATGTGCTTGATCAGTTTATTGTCGGGAGATTTTTGTTAACGTTACGCGATATACTAGATTTGTCAGACTCATTATTTTTCCTGTGTCTCATCTTTGTTTTAGGAGTGCTGTATGCTCCCAAGTATATTAAAGGAATATTTTGTAGAATTTGATAGCTGTCTTCGTCCAGTCCCCATCGAGTCCAGTGCATTTCCCCTGATAATGGTCTGCTCCACCAAGCACGCTTGTTATAAATTCTCCCCCTGTAGAAGCACTTACGTTTTATTGTGTTGATTCATTCTCATGATATTCTACCCTCACAACGTAAAATTATTTAATAATCTTACCTTAGAAGACCAATTTTTTGGAACACAATTATGATAGATACTGTTGGCTACATCTTCTATAGTTTCATTCATAAGAATTGTCCCTTGTAAAGCATTTGTAAGTTCAGTCAGAGATTTATGTATCACTGACAATAATTGATTATATCTAAAAATACAAAAATAAATCTATTAAAACTTTTAATTTAAAATAAATTATAAATTTATTTCATTACAAGCCACTAGTGAAATAAGAATGACAAACAATCACCATCTCTTAAACAAAAAAAGTTTAGGTTATCATATTTTTTTTACAAAACATATTGAATTTTTGTATCCAAGAGGAAGAAGATAATATTCTAACTACTTTTGTGAAGAAATAAAACATTAAAACTATTCTAGACATAGTTTTAAAATCAATGTCAATGTATTTTTCTTAACTCATTTATAATTAAATGTAATAAATCACAATATCAAATAATAATAATAGTAGTAAATAGTACTCATAAAATTTATACAACATTTGTGATACATTATATTTATGTATCAGTTTTTATTATGAGATAACCATTAATTATAATATGTGTGATTTAAAACATAAATTTCACAGTCAGAAAATTCATAGTATATATATATTATGAATTTGTACACAATTATTTCAGGATTTATGAATTATTTAAATCATTTTAAAGTGTATATATGGTAATTATAATAGAGAAAAAAGTAAAAAGTGTTTTTTCTGAATCTGTACCTNAAGTATCATTTATATCATACATTTATGATATTAAATTAATATTTAAAAATAAAATATAGATAGAAAGTGGTTGCACTACAGTGTTAAGAAACAGAACAAATAACAACACTGTTTCAAAATTACTAAAATATAGAAAATTAATATTTTTTAGTATATTATGATTCTTCTTTACTTAAACTTATAAATGAAATATTTGTGATCAAATGTAAAAAAATATATTTTTAAATTGCTTACTGTTATACTGAAAATACATGAATCAGAAGTTTAATGATTGCCTTCTTATAAAGCTTCAAATTTAAAATTTTCATCAATAATCAATCACAAATATTTACAGTCTTTTATGCATGAAAAAGTTTAGTGTAATATGATAATGATGGATTCTAGATTTTGAATATTTCTCTATGAAAGGCTTAAGTCTAACTATAGATGTCAACCCACCTATTGTAATGCTTTTTGTCAGAGATTATATTTTAATTTTAATAAATTTAATGGAGTATTAGTTTTAATGCAGGTAATCAAATAAAGAATTAACATAATACAAAAGTCTTTTAATGATGTTTTACAGTTTTCATTATATTTTCATTTATTATTTTAAACAAAACCTAATTAATATTTTATTTAAGATGGACATTAACAATATGAAATATTATATTGAAATAAGACATTATTTTATTGTTAGTTAATAAAATAAAAATAATTTTTAATTTAAAAATTATTTAGTCAATTACTTTGGTTTTTAGTGGAAAAAATTACCTATTGTCTATTTAGCTTAAAAATAATATTAAACTGGTCAAAAGCACTCATTCATATTTATTTTAAAAGTTCTATTTTCAGATTCAAAAGATATCCTGAAATTATTAGACATTTTGTATAAAAATACCCATTACTGAATGCTTCTACATAAATTTAGTCACAATACACACAGTTTCTGAGAAAATTACTTTAAAATCAATGTAAATATTTTTTTAAAATATTTTTTCTGATTGAATTGATAACAATAAACAACTTTTCATTAAATAATTGATAAAAGTGTTTAAAATTAATAATAAAAATTTCAATGATTACAGGGGTTACCCTGATTTAAAAGTACTTGATATAAGAATTTGATACAAGCTGTTTTCTTTTATCTCTACATTATACATTTTTGTATTGACAATTGCAATTTCATTAACTAAAAAATTTTATTTTACTCTATTTTATTTTTTCTGTTTATTTATTGTCTTAACTAACTTTGGTTATTTCACTATTTAATAAAAAAAATGTGTGATAAATTTTCCCTTATGACATATTCACTTTTCTCCTTTCATACAGATTACCCATGATGATGTATACTAACAGAAAGTTGTTAGAACAAAAATATAATCTGCACCACTGTATACCTGTTTAATTGTTAAGACATTTAGTTATCTAGTCATTTAGATTTTACTCATTTGGTTATTAGCAAACATGCTGGCACGCTTTATTCCTGAGTGAATTTCAAGATATCTTAGTAAAAAAGACAATAAAAGGCACTCTTTTAGGGTGTTAGAAAGTCATTTCGAATGCTGAAGAAGATTCATTTCATGTGAATATAAGGAATTAACCACAAAGGCTTGTATATGTGACAAGCATTTTGAGGATCAATTCTTAACAAAATCATTCAGTCACACAATGTCCAATTAGTACAGCTTGCACATGATAGATGGGCACTAGCTCTGGATGCTTTTCCATCTAAATCCCCAACTGTCCATCCTATCTAAGCATTTAAGTGCCCTGAAAGCAACAATGTCAATCGGAGAAAGGAGATCTCTCGAGTAAAGAATAAAAAAAACACATGTTTTACAGTAATGAATATTACATTACTTACATTTGAATTTTAAATTTTTTGTTTTTTAAGGTACTTCTAAATATGTTTAAAGCAATGATCAACTGCCCAGTACTTGTAATGACAATGACAAAAGTACAACAACATATACAAACTCAGAACCAAATCAGAAAAAGTCATGGCTTTGACCATTTTTGTCAATTTTTATGAATTTTTTTGACTATTGTTTATTTTTTGTTTTTTATTAGTTCTTTAAAATGTTAAAAAAATATATAGAAATTTGTAAATGTAAAAAGAGTTTTGAATATTTAATGTTTTACAAAGTGTTGGGATAGGATTGTGTAAGAACATGACTACTGGTTTTTTTAAACTAGTAACGGCCAAGAAAGACCATTGGATTTTGAATGCGTGGCCACTGATTGGTCGTCAGATCATCATACCACTAGCAAATCTCCGACAGAGCAGCTGATCACTCATTGGTTGAGGATCACACCACTCTACATATTTGCATAGTGCTACGGCTCGGTAAGCACTGATTGGTCATTTAGCCCTCTGACTACGGATATAAAAAGGTTAATATCAAAGCGGGACATTTAAGTTCACTTTAACATGGTAACTTCGGGAAGTTCGGTTAGAAACTTCAGGTCTGTGTAAGTTTGCTTTGGAACATCAGGATATACATCAGTTTCGTCTACGTTCGGCTTAGGACTTTGCATCAGAAGCAAGATCATCATGGATCTTCAAGTGTGCATAAAAGTTCTAGTCAAGTCTGGAATAGTCTCGCTGTCTGTTCTTCAACCGCCAGGAGGTTACTTCTAGCCACAACTCGTTGATTTGTCGCAAGGTGTCTTCTCGATGGACCAGAATCAACATATTAAACTATATAAACTTTGTTAATGTGATTGGTGCACCAAGTTGGTCGCCAATTGTGTGAAATGACAAACATTGTAAACTTCACTCAAAGGCTTTCCATGAAATAAAAAATTACATTACAAAAATATAAATAATAATTTTAAAGGTATTAATCCTAATACAGATTGTATGTATTAAAACTTTTATTATGAAGTGTATGTTTGCAAAACACATGTAAACCATATAAAGCCTAAATTTGTTTTAATGCAATTTTTCACTTCAGCTTTGAAAATGTTTATCAAATCAAATATTTTCATCTAATCTATCATCGTATCTGATTTGTTTGATTCAACCAAAATGTTCAATTTCACTATAAACAGAATATATTTTTAAAAATAATTATCAATTTATATCCAATGAAATGTTATGTATATGTTATGGACAAAGTGATTAATCGGGCATTATTCATAATGCCCGGTCATTATGAATAATGACCAAATAGGGCAGGCAGTGTGATAAATATTGATTAATTTATCAAATTGACTGGTTATTATGAATACTGCTATCACCTAGTCGGGCAAAGTGATAATAAGTTGAGGAGTGATCATCTGACATACGCTAGCCAATCGGCACTTTGCCGATAGCCAATTTGTTGGGATCAGGTGTCATTCCGCTTCATCGGAATGGCACCTGATCCCAACAAATAGAATACACTCCATCCAGGGAATTCCAGTTGACCTGAAGAAGAGCAAAGAGATTGTTCAAAAACATCCATCAACAGCGGTATACAATATATATGCGTCACGCTCTGGTTACAGGTTCCAGATAGTGTAGCGTAAATTTGTAACAACTAAATGATTCATAAAAGATGATAATAAAATTTTAATTTTTAAACATCTGAACTTTTTTACTTAATAAATTACTTCAAATCAATATGAACTTAATAATTTAAAAGTTTAAAAGTAATTTAAATAAGTATATGTTTTTAGACATATTATTTACCTGACTGACATATAATTTAATATTTAATGAAATTTTGTTAGATTTGAAATTATTTAGATAAACTAAATTTATTTGTCACTTTTTAAACATACAAACCAAGAGCTCAAATGATTGTAGCACACCTATTGGCAAATATGTTTATTACCTCTACTTATAAGAATGAAAACAATAGGCATTCAAAGACCAGATAATCCATTGACTCCGATATTATTAACAAATGCTTATTTTTCAAGGCAAAGAAAGTTACATTCATTTGACTGAACAAGATATACTTCATAAGTAATATACCAATAAAATGTTCACGGTAACTTTGCTAGTTCAAAATATATAAATAAAGAAGAAAGTAAATAATTTTAACATTAGTTATCATCTTTGAAAATTGCATAGGTTGTCTACTACAACAACAGCTCTGTATTCAATATAGATTTATACTTAAAAATAAAATAAAATTTAAAAAATAACTTAGAAATAATTATTTGTATAATTACTTAATAACTTCTTGAATTAAAACAGAATTTAACGATTCTTCATATGATAAGGGATACATTGCTGATACTTCTTTTTCACAAAATAGATTTGGCAAAGAATTTAATATCTCTTTAGCAGAATTTTCAACAATCTAAAAATAAAGTTTATATAATTATAATTGAGGTATTAATTAAATCAAACATTAATTAAAGTTTAATTATTTTAATAAACTTTATACTTTTTTTATTTGTGATTTTCATCTGTAGTTCAATTACATTATCATCAAAATCAATTAATTCATTTATTAATAATAAATCAATTAATAAAATAGTGATAGTTTCATCACTAAATTAAAATTTGCATAGTTACAGAGCATTGATATTAGAGGTTGTCCAAATATAACATCTCCAATTTTAAGTCCTTTTTTGACTACCTATCTTATATCTGGTCACTAATTTTTAGACACCCCCATGCTGATATAATATTTGATCTGCCATCCTTGATATTAAATTACAGAAATGCTTTAATTTCTGTAAAACAGCTTTACAATACATTAATTTATTCATATTTCTTGCCAAAGATTTTTAAAAAATAAGCCAATAGAAGTAAGTTCACTGATTTACCATTGAAGAAAAATCTGACAACATACTATTCTGTAACTTTAGACTAAATTTAATATGTTATGTACTGGTATATATATCTTTTAATAGTATCATTATCTATAATCTGTACCTAAATATTAAATTGTTGTCTATTCTTACATGTTAAACTACAGTTCTGACAGAGCATATTTAAGACAGTGCTTCTACTAAAGTGTAACTATTAAATAAGCAAGAACTTGCTGTATGATCACTGATCAAAATGAGTTGACACTCTTGAGAGAGTATCAACTCATTTCCAAGATTTATCTTATATAAAAAATAAATTTTTTGTATAACAGATGTACAAAAATATGTGCAAAGTGAAGAAAAAGTTTTCATAACTATTTTAAATATAATGTTATTTTCTGGTTACCCTAATCTATTTTGGAAAGTTAATATTTATTAAAAAATCAGGCTTCTATTTAAATCCTATTCTGATATCCTTGGAACTTTGATCTGTTTTGTTAAAGCAATTAAGAACAGAATATATTTTTTAATCCTTTACACTTAAATTATATTTCCAATAATGAATTTTTTTATAGCATTTTCACTTTAAATTAATTAAATCAATCTTTATCTCAAATAAAAAATAACACAGCTTACGGCCATGATCACACAACAACTAAATTTTTAAACCTTGTATTACTATAGCTAAATACATGTTACTTAATTGGCTTAATATGATACTTCTTATAGAGTTGATTCCTAGAGATTGAAATAATATCATATATAATATGATTTATAAAAAGGGCACCTATGATAATCCCAACAATTATAGACTCATTGTATTATTGACTAATTATAGGAAAATATTCTATCAACAGTTTACATTTATCAAAGGTAAAGGTATAATCAATTCTAATTTGTTATTTGCCTTAGCTTAATCTCTCATCCAAATTTATTTGTATTCTCTATTCTCAGGTTTTAAGATATCTATTAGACAGGGCAATAAATTTTCTGATACTGATGAAAATTTTGATGGATTATCACAAAGTGACCCCTCTTAGTCCTTATTTGTTTATTTTATACATCATTGATCTCCATACTCATTTTTCACAGTCATCTTTAGTTAATATTCAAATTGGTGCTCATGAAATTTCCCATCTAGCTTATGCTGACAATTTTGCCATTATATCTAAAACTTAAACCGATTTCAATGGAAGATTACTTCTTGACTTCCCTAAACCTGTTACTGGTGCACAATGCATATAAGATATATACAGCAGGTGACAAACATTTTCAAACTATCCTGCAGTTCTTCCTCAGGTCAACTAGCTTAGGAATGCTTTTGGACAGAGCGTGTGGATTTCAACGAGATCGAATGTCATTTCGAAGAAGTCAGCCTCACTTGACATGCACGGTCGCGGCTTTATAAATGGCTATGGATTCTAGCCATTTATAAAGCCGGCCAAGTAACCACATGTGTCAACCGGAAGGAGGGGCTAAATCAATCGCTGGCCTGGCAGTCCTTATTAGATGCCGACCCATGACTACCTCCACCAGCTCACGACCATGCATGTCAAGCGAGGCTGACTTCTTCGAAATGACATTCGATCTCGTTGAAATCCACATGCTCTGTTCAGAAGCATTCCTAAGCTAGTTGACCTGAGGAAGAACTGCGAGATAGTTCAAAAACGTTTGTCACCTGCTGTATATATCTTATACGCATTGCGTGCCAGTAATAGGTTTAGGGAAGTCAGGAATTTATTCCGGTGCTGAAATTAGAGTGAATTTTGTGATTAATTCTTTCCATCATTTTTGCTTGGACAGAGAATTGTGTTTTATGTTAAAAAATCCAAGATCATGGTTTTTCATTGAGATGGTCATCATCAAAATTCTGATAAATGATACCTAGGTATAGAACACATTGAGGTTGTTGAACAATAAAAATATCTGGGATTATTATTTAATAGTGACTTGTCAATTAACAAGTTTCAAACAAGCTATCTCTCTTGCTACCAGATAAATAACTTATCTTATTTACTTTAACATTTAAAAGCAAGTAATACTCTAAAACTAACTATGAATTTTTGAAACTAGTCAATAAACATTTTTCACAAGTCTAACATAGTAAATAAATGATTAATTTGTAAATACAGTAGTGTGCCTAGTCTCAGTCCTGTGTCCTGATGAATATTAAAGTCCTATGTATAAACAAATTTACCTTGTTTAAGTCAAGAAATTGTAGAACAAAGATTTCATAGCAACAGCACAACAACTTCATGACATTACTTATTCTAGCATTCTATTAACTTCAGACTTGTAAAAACATAAACTGATAAATCATTGTAATATACAAATAACAGGGATGTGATGGTGTAAATTCCACACTATTATAGTCACAAAAATTTCACCAATCACAGTAAAGTGATTGATGAAATTTTAATAAATTAAATAAATAAAATAAGAACACTAAAAGATAGCAAAAAGTAAATTTGTATCATACAGTTTCTTTAGCATGACAAGTAACAAACACAGAGTGTATGTTACATGGCATGCTGTAACATACTATTATAGTAACAGAAATTGCACCAATCACAGTAAAGTGCAATTTCATGCTAAAGAAACTGTATGATACAAATTTACTTTTTGCTATCTTTTAGTGTTCTTATTTTAATTTATTATTGTACAACCAATAATAAATTAAAATATTTTTTCTTAAAATTAAACTTGTAAAAAGTAAAAAAAAATAATAATAATTTTAGGAAACTTACATGAATTTCAAAAATAGATAATCTGTGGGCTAACCACACAAAACTTTATAATAGTTTATTAAAGTTAAAATTGTAAAACTCAGCTATTTCAACAAACATTTGTCATCAATTTTAGAAAATATTAATGTCAGACAATTAATATTGATACTGATCATTATTGAACTTTAGATGTGCTACATAAGTAATTTCTTAATTCATATAATTTAGCATAAATTGAATCTTAATTTGAAAAAATATTAGCTTTAGCCAGTTTTTATAATTTAAAAATGCTTGATTAGTTATTTGCTAATACTCACTTCATATCTATTAAAATATGGATAAAATTAATTCACTATTGTTATGTATTGAGCATTTAATTGCTTATTTTGTATCATAAAAATCATACATGTATATATGAGAAGTAAGCATTTATGGATACTTTAAATAAAATAGAAATTAATTAAGCTTTAATATTTTAAATATTTTTTAATAAATAAATTTGGAAAATTTCTTTATTAAAAATAAACTCTATAAACTTAAATACTTTAATGCTAACCTTTTCTTTTAATTCATGAACTTTTGAGGTTGCTTTTGCCTGAAGAGATGATAGTTTTGATAAAATCTGATAACTTTGACTTTGGTTAACAACAATACTTGCATTTTCATGTAGACCAAATAGATTTGGTGAATCAATTAAGGGAAGATTTTGGATATAATCCATATATTGCTAAAATGAAAATATTTTATAAATGATATATTTATTAATATATATTTATGTTGATAAATAAATAAATAATTATTCAAAAGTTAAATTTTCTCTCTTATAATTTTCCTTACTTCATAAGTACTTTCAGATGATAACTGATGAATGATTTCTTTTTCAGTAAAACAATAATTTGCTATTAATGCATCTTGACTACAATAATCTTGTAATAAAGTTTCAATACATCGCTGGTCTAAATCATCAGAAACTTTACCACCATAATTTATTTTTCCAACCATATATGTTAAAATCTGAAATATATATACCACAGAAAAAAGTAATTATAATGTTATGGCTCAATGAAATCTTATATTTATGAAAATTTGTGTTCAACAAGAGAGACTTTCTACTAAAAGTCCTGCTCTTCTTTAAAACAAAACAAATTGGATCTTTTAATGTATTAAAACTAATCTTAATTATTTCAGTTAAAGTATGTAGTTTAATTAGCTTACCTTAAATGGCACTTGTTTATATTTGTTTATAACTATTTCCAATTGATTTATACATATAAAAAGATCATTCATAGTAAATTCATATTTAATGTTAAATCCTAGAGATCCAAATTTACATCTTTCTAAAATAACACTGTGAAACAGACAGAGACTCAGAAGTAATGGCTTAAAGACATGACTCTAAAATAAACAATTTTGTTATAATATAACAGTATTATAATTATTTAATTTTATATAATAAATTAACTTACCTTCTCTTTACAATGTTCAAAAAAATTATCATTAAACTTTTTATAAATTTTCAGCATATTAGCTTGTAAACCACAAGGTGATTCAATAGTCATTTTTAATCCTCTTTGAAGTAAATTAATTGGAAATTGTGAACTCGGCATGCTTGTAAGCCATAATCGAAAGTCTTTATGAACCTAAAAATTTTTAAAAATTTATAAATATATGTAAAATATATTATAATTTCCTTTTTATTTACATACTTCTTTAGGATTTATGCTTTCAATTAATTTCTGTAATTGAGACATCAAATTTAATGCTAAATGGCAATTTTGAAAAAATATCCAATTTCCCAATTCAATGGCTGATTTGAATAATGCTTCAGCTTTTTGTCCCTATTATTACATTAGAATGAAAACATTTCATTATAAGAAAATATTTAATACAAAAACTGTGTTATAGAAAAAGTAAATTACTTGATTTTGTCCTAATGATAATGAATATAATCGTTTAGAAGTATGCTTTTCTTTATATAGTTCATGTAATTCTTCTGTAGGATCAGCATTATGAGATAATACTAAAATAAGTGGAACAATAGGTGAAGAATTATCATAAAGACGAGCTAAGTTGAATACCTAAAATATAAAAACACATATTTTTAAAATAACATTTTATTATTAAAAGTTTTTATTCAATTTTTAAAATTAAAATAACTCCTAGTTAAAACTTTTAAATATTTTTTATTAGGAAAATATTTTAAAAATGTGTAGTTAAGTATTATGAAATTTAAAAAATTTTAAAATTCAATATTAAGTTGATAAATATTTTAAAATTTAAACTATCAAACTGAATATAAAACATTACTTCCTAGAAATTTTGTTTTTATGTACAGTACAGTGATACCCCGAACTTACGCAATAGGTGGGACTGAGCGATAACCACGTAAGTTGAATTTGCGTTAAGTCGGGGTATAATTTCGCAATTTGTGTAAAACCCAAGTCGGATGTATGTAAGCTAATAAATGTTCTCGTTAATCTTATCTCGTCTTTTGATTCGTTCACAGATAGAAGAAATCACCACATAGTGTCTCTCGAGTCTCCGTAGATATAACAAACACAGAAATAAATAACACAAAATAAATTGTGGCTGTGTGTCGATTCTGCACGACACGTCCGAACATGTAAGCTGAACAATAGTGTGGGGGGGACTGAGTAATTGAGAGTTGCTTGGCGCTCAAACAAAAGACGAATTGACGAGATTTGAAAATTGCGTAACTCCAGGTTTGTGTAAGTCGGGTAGCATAAGTCGAGGTATCACTGTATTTCTTCAATATAAAAAAAAAGCAGTTAAATCAATCTGAAGTTTGTTCTTACTTGAAATTTAATGAATTTTTCACCTAATTTGTTACTAACAAATTTCTTCATGGCTAAACCTAAACAATCTATTCTGATGCATCTTAATAACAATAATCTTTCAAAATCATCCAATTCTTCTTCCCATTTTATAGGTAGAACCTCACTAAAAATAAAATTTAATTATATAGTACTCTCATTTTTTTTTAAAAATAATTAATAAAAATAATAAGTTTTTTAATTAATAAAAATAAACTTAAAAATTGATTTATTGACATTTACTATTTTATTATTTGTTTTAGATCTATTATTATTATTTTTTAATCTCTTGACCCTGTGGGCACTTAGAAGGCCTTTTTTCCATACCCATTATGGGTTCAACCTGGCCCACAATGGGGGATAACCAGGTGGTGAGAGACAGGGACTCAACATATCCAGAACACACCACCCCTTCAGAAACTTATTAGTATTTTTCAGTTTGTAAATATAGAACTAAGCAAGACATATTTATTCCTGTGAAACCATCATTAACTGATTCATTTGAAAGTAGGTAATATTTACTAAAAAAATATAAATTTAAATCTATTGAGATTAGAATAAAGAAATTAAAAACCTTTCTGGATGATCAGAATAATAAATCTTTCTAAAATGGCTATTATTTTCATAAAAATCTGATAATAAACTTTCAAATTTTGGAAATTTTGCCAATGTGCAAATTTCTGTCCAAACATTTTCAGGAAGCCAGCCTGGAGAAGGATTTTCCATTTCAATTGGCTCTGATCCACCATTTAGAAAAAATTCCCACTTCTTCTACAATAAAATATTTTATAATTTTTATACTTGTTATGCATGTAACTGGTCAAAAATTTTAAATTGTGCTTAATTATACAAGCATTATGATATTTACCTGATCTATCAAATCTTCATCCATACATAATGAGAGAGATAATAAAAATGCATACAGTAATTTATCCTTCTCAAATAACGAACAACAAATATTTATAAAAAGATTGTAAGTAAAATGATTATTTATTTGTATACATCGTTGATCAATATATTCTGTAAAATTGAAATATAAAATTAGTATGCATTTTATTATGTAATAGTTTTATAAAATATATTTAAAATTAAGAATGCTACAAAAGATGTCTTTGATATACTTTTTTTGTTTTAAAAAAAAATACCTACATTATTTATATACAGTACGTTAAAAATGTTCTTGCTACCATAGCATTACTACCATTATTATTTCTAGTAATAACAAAAAACTATCACATTTTAAATCTGTTATATTAGTTTAAAATCTGTTAGTGATTGTCATACAAGATGGCTTGGATACTTGATGGCTGCCCAAACCAGCATACTAACAATGGGGACAATTTGACATTCAACAATAAAGGGTAGATTGAAGGGCTCACTAGTGAAACACCATACTTTAATACTGTGATAGTCCATTCCCAAACAGAACTGTTATTCATTGCTAAAGATGATATGCTGCCTGTCCATAGCAGTCCATGCTTCTTTGCATGGACTGGTGTACATATTTTTAATTTGCATTTTGTTGTTTGGAAAATTTACATATTCCTGCAAAACTTCTGAAAATTTACATGTTTCCTTTTGAATAAATTAATTTGTTTTACTGTAGACAGTGGAACTAATGATTAATGAATCATATATATATATACATATATGTGAAATGCTGAAAAGATCTCTTTTGCATCTGAACAAATGTTAAAGTAAACACTATAAATACATACATTATATATATATATATATATATATACATACATATAAATACATACATAGATACATACACACAAAGCTTGATCAAAAAATACCTGTACTAGCAGCATAACCTTTTAATTTAAACTTATAGAAATTATTCTACATTAAAATGGTCTGGTATATTAAAATTAGCAGGAATAATTTCATAAATTTGGAAAATTACTATCAGTTTTGGAAGTTGAAGGTCTATCCAGCTTTCATTATCCTTAATTGAATTTCTGTCTTCTTTAAAATGGCTAAACCATTCAAAACACATAATTCAACTCAAAGTGTATTCTCCAAAAACGATTTTCAAATGGTGATGTGTTTTTGTTGCAGTCTTTCCAAGTTTTAAACAAAATTTCACACAAAATGCATTGCTTTTCAATCAGTTCCATGTTAAAAATCATTAGAACAAAAAAAAATTCAAATTACAGAAACCACCACGAGTTTGAAAGGAAAACTTTTCTTAATATGAACTTAATGGTAGTCAACTCACAACTGATGATCACATTATACATACATACAGTCCCACTAGTTCTCCCCACTTAATAACTACAAAGCTATATGCATAGTCAGGTATATTTTGATATATGATACATAAACATAAGATAATTATATAATTAAAGTTGATGTTTGATAGTTATCATCAAACATTCAAATTTTACCTGAATATTCTGTTTTTGCAATTGATGACAAAAACATTTCTATAAACCATTCTAAGGAGTAATGATACATTGGATTTAACCTTTCAAGATCTAGTATTCCAAAAAATAATATTTTAGCTCTTAAAACAACTGGCATATATTGATTTCTTGTAGAATCAATATCTTTTTCAGTACTTAAAATTGTATTTATTTTTTCCTAAATTATTTTATTTTATAAAAATATAAAAGTAATGTAAATATTTTTATTTTTTAAATGATCTATTATTATTATTTTTTAATCTCTTGACCCTGTGGGCACTTAGAAGGCCTTTTTTCCATACCCATTATGGGTTCAACCTGGCCCACAATGGGGGATAACCAGGTGGTGAGAGACAGGGACTCAACATATCCAGAACACACCACCCCTTCAGAAACTTATTAGTATTTTTCAGTTTGTAAATATAGAACTAAGCAAGACATATTTATTCCTGTGAAACCATCATTAACTGATTCATTTGAAAGTAGGTAATATTTACTAAAAAAATATAAATTTAAATCTATTGAGATTAGAATAAAGAAATTAAAAACCTTTCTGGATGATCAGAATAATAAATCTTTCTAAAATGGCTATTATTTTCATAAAAATCTGATAATAAACTTTCAAATTTTGGAAATTTTGCCAATGTGCAAATTTCTGTCCAAACATTTTCAGGAAGCCAGCCTGGAGAAGGATTTTCCATTTCAATTGGCTCTGATCCACCATTTAGAAAAAATTCCCACTTCTTCTACAATAAAATATTTTATAATTTTTTTACTTGTTATGCATGNCACGAGCACCATTCGATGGCAAGCTCCATGACGAAAACAAGCTTAAGCAATGGTGTTGTCGAATGGTGCACACTCGGTAAGTAATTCTACAATTTTTTGTTTATAGCATAGTTTATATGGATTATTCCCAAAAAATTATACGTATTTTAGAAATGTTGAGTTGAATTAGTCTAGAATCGATTAATTTTATGGAAGAAAACTTTTCAAACAGCCGTAGTCCATAAACTGCAGATGTGCCGTGCTGTGATTGGCTCATGTATTTAAGGACTCGTAGAAAAAGGATTCATAAAAACCGGAATGTATCTACCGTGTTATGGGTGGGGTCGACTGTATATACAGTAGATATGTTCTATTTTATATGAATTCTGTGTTTTACCAGTCACTTAAATACATGAGCCAATCACAGCACAGCACGTCTGCAGTTTACGGACTATGGCTGTTTGAAAGGTTTTCTTCCATAAAATTAATTGATTCTAGACTAATTCGACTCAACATTTCTAAAATACGTATAATTTTTTGGGAATAATCCATATAAACTATGCTATAAACAAAAAATTGTAGGATTACTTACCGAGTGTGTACCGTTCAACGGCGCCATTGCTTAAGCTTGTTTTCGTCGCGGAGCGGCGCATCGAACAGTGGGTGCGTGTTTTCTAATAAGTTATTTTTATGCGAAAAATTTGCTGAACTTTGGAGACATCATTAATATAAATATGATTTTTATGGACGTTAAATAATAAATGTTATTTAGTAGGTCCAGTGCTCATTTAAACTCAACAGTTTGTGCAATATCCGCTATTGCTCTAGATTCGACCAATCCTGTTGCGACATGAGTCGGTGATGACGTTTTACCATATTATATGAGTCTCTTTTAGAGTGTTTATATGAATACGATCACAATTTTTTCTCCTTGTTATATGAACCTGTTTTATAGGGGGTCTACTGTATAACAATTATATAAATGAAACTTTATATAGAATTTATTTACAGAATTGCCAAATTTAATAATATTTTCTCTTCTCTTTAAAACCTAAAGAAATAAAACAATAAAAAATAATTTACATATTACAACTAAAAATGCAACATTTATATTTTTCAATACAAATCAATTAATTGTAATACAGGATAGGCAACTTTAGCTGTCCTTGTTAAAATAAGAAAATTTTCATATATTGATATACAATCATATCAAATGTTTATTAAAGTTTTGTTATTTCATCTAATTCTTAGAATACGAGGTCTGTTCAAAAAATACGCAGACTGACGTCATAAAACAAAATGTACTTTAATAACAATCCACGAAACCTTTTTTTACAAGTGTTATGTTCGTAATAAACTCCACAAATGCTTTCAACCGCCACCGAGGTCTGCTTCAGGTGGTGACTGACTGTGTTTCCTCCTGACCGTCGTAACGATGTCACCAGAGATGTAAATAATTGTGCATGTCAGGTTTCACCCCTCCGACTGTCCCTGTTCGAATTCCTCGAACAAATACGTCCACACCTGCACGATCGTTTCACCATCTTTGAAGTTGATGCAGGTGCCCCCACTGTTAGCTTTATGAATCTCCCAAACCTCCAGGTGATGGATGTGATCAGTTCGGAACACTTGTCTGATTAGTCTGGTGTTCCAGAAGTCTGCCTGCATTTCAGGGTCGGCAATGTAGGTCGATAAGGCGGTGGTGTGCCTGTTATTTTTAATATCTGCTTGATGTTCTCTTATCCGTTTTTGTGTTGAGCGGATGGTGAAGCCAATGTAAACCAAGTCCCTATGAAATCTGTCCTCCCTGATGGGAATGGAGTATACACCTGAGGCCTTGCTGAGATCCATCGCGTCCTTGGCATTGCGCAGCAGGTCATAAACAATGCCGGTTCTCATGTACGTGATCTTCGTGCGGTTACAGCAAGCAATCTCCCTGTATAGGGGGTCTAAATGTTGGTTGAACTGGATGACCGCATGCCTACCGTTCCTATCCGGTTGGCAGTTGTCATCCAGCGAAGGCAGGGGGCTGTCACTGCGGCGTGGGGGAATGGGCGTAGGCACGGGCTAAACCACGGATCATGCCTTTACTGTATCCATGCTCAATGGCAATTTTTTCTATGTGACGGAGCTCTAATTGGGTGTCGTGCTTGTTTGTGTGGTGAGTGAAAGCCTGTCTGGTAAGGGCATGGAAAACAGCAATTTTGTAGACAAAGGGGTCTACAAAAAACCATTAAACTTACACTCACAACATACAGACATGACAGAACATATAAAAAGCATAGACAACATTAAGCAACCGTGGGCTCAAAAGGTTCTCCATGGCAGGCATCCTTATGACCTGGCCCAGGATTTTGTTGACAAAACTGCGTCAAACAGCTGGTTAGATCGGGGATGCCTCTTTGGGGAGATGGAAGGATTCATGATTGCCATACAGGATCAGGTCATAAATACTAAAAACTACAGAAAACACATACTCAAAGATACAACACTCACAAATGACACATGCAGAAAATGTCACATCATGCCAGAAACTATACAACACATCACTTCTGGGTGCAAGCTCTTGGCACAGACAGATTATTTACACAAATGAGTTCGCAGGGATGAAAAGTGGGAGCTGGTCCGGTTTACGGTAAACACTCGTTTCTATCTTACCCCCTGTGAGACGTATGTTAACATCTAGAAAATGTGCATTCGAGTTGCTAACCTGATCTAAGCCGAGGGTGAGGCTGTAAGCATTGTCGTTCATGCACGACAAAAAATCGTCAAGGTTCGGTGTGGTTTTCTAAAGTATAAAGATGTCGTCCACGTATCTCTGGATTAGACTGATGTATGGCAAGAATTTTGGCAATACACTCTCCTCCAACCGTCTCACCACTAGCTCGCAAAATTCCCCCGATAGCGGGCTGCCCTTATTGCCCAAATTCTTGCCATACATCAGTCTAATCCAGAGATATGTAAATGACATCTTTATACTTTTGAAAACCACACCAAACCTTGATGATTTTTTGTCGTGCATGAACGACAATGCTTACAGCCTTACCCTCGGCTTAGATCAGGTTAGCAACTCGAGTGTACATTTTCTAGATGTTAACATACGTCTCATGGGGGGTAAGATAGAAACGTGCGTTTACCGTAAACCAGACCAGCTCCCACTTTTCATCCCTGCGATACACAGTACAGTGGCACACCAACAGAAGAAGAACTCACAACTTATTGGTCATCTCTTTGGTCCAATGCTGTTACACACAATGCTGATGCAGGCTGGATCAAGGAGGAGAACAGAAACTTGCATAACATACCAAGTATGCCCTGTGCTGAAATAAACATACACGACATTCGCTACGCTGTTAACAGAACACACAACTGGAAGACACCTGGTGTAGACAACATTCACAATTTCTGGTACAAAAAGTTTACATCACTGCACCAGGAACTAGCTAAACATCTAACACACATCATCATCAATCCACAAGACATGCCAAAATTTCTTACTCAGGGCATCACCTACATGAAACCTAAAAACAACAAAACCACAGACCCCACACAATACAGACCAATTACATGTCTTCCAACACTCTACAAATTATTGACATCCTGTATCACAAACAAAATATACAAACATGTTGAAGAACACGACATTCTTACAGAACAACAAAAAGGTTGCCGTAGAAATCACAGGGGATGCAAAGAACAGTTACTCATAGATTCAGTCATTCTACGGCAAGCACACAAACAACACAGAAACATACACATGGCATATATAGACTACAGAAAAGCATTCGACAGTGTTCCACACAGTTGGCTGCTACATATTCTACACATGTACAAAATACATCCATCACTCATTGCATTCTTCGAAAACACTATGCAGCACTGGAGAACAACACTACATCTCAGGGTTAGTAACACTTCCATACAAACAAACGAAATATTCATTAGGCGAGGAATTTTTCAAGGAGATTCCTTGAGTCCTCTCTGGTTCTGCCTAGCCCTGAATCCATTATCCAACATGTTAAACAACACGCATTATGGCTACAATATCAGACATGAAAAAACAACACAGTTTACACTCTCACATCTCATGTACATGGACGACATAAAACTTTATGCATCCACACAAAAACAACTTCATCAACTCCTACAAATCACACATTCATACACTAAGGACATACAAATGGAGTTTGGCTTAGACAAATGCAAAAAACTTCACATAGAAAAAGGAATCCTGAAGAAAGAAGATTTTGCACTTGGAAATGGAGACGTTATTGAATCCATGGAAGAGGGCGAGTTCTACAAGTACTTAGGATTCCAACAGGCCAAACTAACAGAACATACACAAATAAAGCAACGATTAATTAAAGAATACCAAAGTAGGTTAAACGCTATACTTAGAACACAGTTAAATGCAAAACACACAGTTAAAGCAATAAACACATATGTCATCCCAGTACTCACATACTCTTTTGGAGTTATACATTGGACTCACACAGATCTCGAGCAACTCCAAAGGAAAACAAGAACAACACTTACTAAGCATAAACAACATCATCCTAAATCCGCCACAGAAAGATTAACCCTTCCACGTAAAGAAGGCGGACGTGGCCTGATTGACATAGTTAACCTTCACTACAAACAAATACAGTCACTGCGAGAGTTTTTCTACAAGAAACAAGAAACATCACAGTTACATAAAGCAGTAACTCTAGCAGACTCAAATAACACACCATTAAACTTACACTCACAACATACAGACATGACACAACATATAAAAAGCATAGACACCATCAAGCAATCGTGGGCTCGAAAGGCACTCCATGGCAGGCATCCTTATGACCTGGCCCAGGATTTTGTTGACAAAACTGCGTCAAACAGCTGGTTAGATCGGGGATGCCTCTTTGGGGAGACGGAAGGATTCATGATTGCCATACAGGATCAGGTCATAAATACTAAAAACTACAGAAAACACATACTCAAAGATACAACACTCACAAATGACACATGCAGAAAATGTCACATCATGCCAGAAACTATACAACACATCACTTCTGGTTGCAAGCTCTTGGCACAGACAGATTACTTACATAGACACAATCAAGTAGCAAATATAATACACCAAGAGCTTGCAAAGAAACACAAATTGGCAGACATCCACGAACCATACTACAAGTATATTCCACAGACAGTATTGGAAAACAACACGCACAAAATGTACTACGACAGAGCCATAATCACAGATAAAACAATTTACCACAACAGACCAGACATCACACTCATTGACAAACACAATAAAATCACATACATTATAGACATAGCCATTCCAAACACTCACAATGTACAAAACACATGCACTGAAAAAATTAGCAAGTACACAGAACTCGCCCAGGAAATAAGGCATCTGTGGAGGATGGATAGGGTGCTTATTGTACCTGTTGTTCTCTCCTGTACAGGTGTGATACCACACACGCTACACAAAAGCCTGGGAACATTACAATTGAGTAGAAATACATACATCACACTACAGAAGGCCACTATATTGAATACATGCCATATTGTTAGGAAATTCCTTAATACAGACACTGACACACACATTTAATTTTAGTTTTGTTTTGGTTGCTATGCCTTGACTTTGGTCCGGCATAGTACACAGCCACCGGTGTATACCGAGTATAACCCACTAAACACAACAATAATAATAATAATAAATTATACCTGTTAAACAAAAAGTGAGCTTCTCCATATAATAAAGACCTGATAGAATGTAGTTTTTAGTGTTATACAATGCTAAAATTTAGATTCATTTATCCAATTACTATTTATAAAATATTATGTAAATGCTATGTGGTGAAATTGATCAAAGTTGTTATTAAATAATTTCCAAGTTAAAAAATAGTTGTAAAATAAACTTTTGCACAACATTTTCAGGACAGGAAATAATAATACAAACTAACCTGTTTTAATAATAATGAATCCAAAGAAGGATCTAATATTTCGCCAATATTTTCAAGCAGACAAGGTTTTCCAAATCTTATCGCATGATCTAAACTATGTAAGAATTCTTTATCAGTCAATTTTATACATTCTAAATTTGATGATTCTATTGTTTTTATCCATTTGTTAGCTTGACCCTATAAATGTATTAATTTATTTGAAATCAGAGTAATATTTGTTTTTACTAAATTTCATTCAATAAGTAAAATAGAAAATTTTAATCAAAATAAGGCCATAAAAATTAAAGAACTTTAAAAAAAGTCAAAACTTTATTTTAAATATTTTGATATTTACTTGTGGATCGATAAATAAAGGCCAACTTGGAGAATTATAACATATAATTGCATTTTCCACATAAAAATCATCTTTTGGCAAACCAGCAATTTTCCATTTTTGAATCATTACGGAATCTCCCAACAAATCTGAAATATTTTAAAATAAATTTATATACTGATAATTTCATTGTATATTATATTAAATCACTGTGTCATAAAATATTAAACTAATACATCTACAACAGCCATAAATGATCAGGCTGTATTTTGGATAAATAATTAGAAATTAGAAATAAATTTGGCACTAGAGTGAGGCATTAGGCACCATCTATTATTAAAATTAATAATTAATATTTAATTAAATAATTTAGAATAAACTGGAAAAAAAGATCGGCCCGAAGCGGGACTCGAACCCGCAACTCCCGGTATGGCTGTTGTAGATGTATTAGCTTAACATATTGGGTTTCAATGGTTGTGTAATTTTCTGGTGTTTTATCATCTTACCAATAAAACTTCTTTTATTGTATGGAATATTATGTTCTTCTAATTTCTCCATCCAAATATTAGTAATATTTTTACGACATTCCATCTAAATGAAAAAGTATTAGCTTTAAATTATTATACATTTATCAGAAGAATTAAACAAAACATTATCACTAAGACACTACTAAATATTTTTTTTATCTACAATGTCATAAAAGAAATTATGATTACTTAATAATTTCTTTTAATAAAACATTTGCTGATAGAGAATTTCTGCCTAGCATATTCTAATGTAAAAAATATGCAATTTTACCTTCTAACATATTAAAAATGCATTATACAAGTAAATTTACTATAATGACACCAGTTTATGTCATGGTTGTCTACGACATAAAATATTCCATTACACCTATTAATTTCTTGTAAAGCATACTGTACAACAAATGAAAACAAAAAGAATTTGCACAAAAATCAAGATAGTAGAATGTTATGTGCAGCAAGTCGTGTGGCAGATGATAAGAGCAATATTATTCAGAATTTTGTGTTATTTTGAATAATAATGTCAAAATTTGTCAAAGTCCTTATTTGAACCAAAAAAGGCTTCCAAAAAAGTCATTTTGAGATCCCAGGTGTACAATTTCTATTCCCACAATTTACAATATGAGAAATTATTTATATTTAAACATTTTATTAATGAAGGAAAATCAAAGACAAACAGAATTTATTCCATCCTGAAAAGATGTGACATAGGCTTACCAACAGAAAGACATTAGCATCAGATCAGAGAGTGAAAATATTTATGAAAAGAAAGTAAAGAAGTTTGCAATGGCATTTTACTACGATTTTACTTCACTTATTCAGCAGCTAAGTGATTCAAATGTTTTCAAGCCAAGATTTTCTACGTTCTAAAGAAGTTAAGCATTCAATATCATAAATAAAATAGCATTACTGATTACACCAATAATCAAAGAAAGGATGCACAAATCAAATGTGGATGTCTCATTTGAAAATTCTCCAAACAAACATTCATTTTGGAAAATATCAAAGTAAAGAACCTAGCTCTATACTTGCCAGCTATGAAAGCACATGGAGTGCCAAAAATTATAAAGTACTTAAAAGGTAAGCTTAATTTAGGTGAAACAATACAAATTGCTCAGACAAATACAAGGCATTATGCAAATCATCAGTCAATGAGATACCACTAATGTTTTGGATTGTAGTCTCTTATTGTCTAAGTTTTCTCAAAAAAATTCTACTGTCTGATATAAAATCCTCCTCCTCACATGGGTTCCTCTGTATAAAATTGCTAAACACAGTTCCTGTGGTCTTTCAAGGATAAAAAAAAATAAAGGAATAAAAGGGGAAACCAATCCAAGAATAGCACTTAATGCCCAGTGAACAAAAAGTCAGCTCTTTTCAATATACTGTTGAATTCTCCAATGCTTCCTCTGGATTAAAATTTAATACTCCTTTTTTTATATCAGTAATTATATCATCATCAATTGTGAGATGTATCTCTTTCAAACAAGTAAAAATGGATAATACAGTGCAGTGGCAGAGCGTGGGTGTCAGCTGCCCGGAGCAAAGGAAAATTTCGCTGTCCCCTTATAAGTAATGAAAAATTCCACGCTAGTGTTGCCACCTTTTTAAAAATTGCTGACCTGGACAGCAGGTGAAGTTTCTTCGAACAGAAGTTCCTGACGCGTGCGTATGTCATTTTGCAATGTGAAGAATAATGTGCAGTGCATGCTGGTTCTAAATCAGTTACAGTTAGTGACTAGGAAGACTTGGGTAGGAGTAACATAAGTAACCTAGATGACGTAGCTCTATTGGATATTAGAGATGTGAATGAATACAAATCGTACAAGCAAAAAAAAAGTTGACAGGTTGCGCACGATATCCCCAGGTAAAATTAATAGTTCACCCAGACGTTATTCTGTGCTCATTTCAATCGGTCTGAATCGTAGATGCAACAAAATTATGAAATGAAATGGTTCAAATTTTTACAAGATATTATTATTTATTGTGAAATTTTGCCAACCCCTAAAAAGTGCTGCCCCTGCTGTCCCCATTACGCTATGCCACTGATACATTGCATCTTAAAATCAAGAAAATACAGTATTACATTTAACTACATTAAATTAACTAAGATATAGTATTATATTTATTACAATTAATAATATACTGGTATAGTGGCAGATAATGCACAGTGCTAATAATTGCTACTGAAACTGAATTAATTTTAAAATTGACGTTTTATTAGTATTAATTAGTATGGGATATATTTGTTTGAATAATTTTGTATGAATTTTTTTATACAAATTTCTGTTGTTTGAGTGTATAACAATGTCACTTTATTTCATTTTTATTTGAAGTAAAATAAAATTCCAAACTTATGAAAATAGAATTCTATTAGATATGCTGAACTTTCCACTATATCTAACAGAAAAAGCAATTTTTTTTTATTTAGAAACCAGCTGAAGTTTTTATTAATAAAATTTTTTTGCTGCAAAACAGATTCCTTGTTTTGCATAAAAAAAATTAAATCTTCACTCATTTTTAAGTGTCATAAACAATTGCATATTGATGTCAAAAGTTCAAATTTTTAATAAATTAATATTATTTTATTCTATAAAAAAATGTGTACATCAATACACAAATAGTCTGTTGGAAAAATGAGTTCATATATCTGGAAATTAAAACTGTTAGCATTAGAGCATGATAAAATTATGTTGTGGCCATCGGTCATGATATTGGATAGTTGTATGTTTTATTTGGATTAATTTTAGCCTTCTTTCCTGTTTCTTTGTTCTAAATTCCTTCTAGAACTTTCTTGTCTAACCTTTTTTTGCCCTTGGATAGGATTATCGTTTCCATGAAAATAAGTAGAACAAAAGAGGGAGTGAAGCCCTGGGGCCAAACGGACAGAGAAGGAGTTAGTCTGGGTGAGAATCCCAAAGAGGAGGCAGACAAAAGGCAGTGCTCCAGAACTCGAGAAGGACGATCAGGGACTGCGAGGTGCCAGGAGATCAAAGAGAAAAGACTATGGACAGAAAGCCTTGAGAAAAGATGACAAAGTCAGAGATAGACGAAAGGTCTACAACAAGAAAAGGGTCACAAATAAGAGGGAGATCTGAAGTTGTGTCCTACCCAAGAGCACGTCACTACAAAAACCCTGGATATTTCTATTTCTTCTCTTATCTTTTCCTATTTCTTCTATTTTATCCATCTTCCTTAACTGTAAGATAGTTATAAATTAGATATAAGTAGAGCCGAAAATTTTCACTTTTGGTGAATTTCTCAACTATATTCGCCTGGAATGAGCATCTTCCAATTAGTACTAATTTAAAAATCCGGTCTCAATATCACTAAGTTTTTTTGGTGAAAATCGGTGATTTTCACCCAAACTGGCAAATTTGGCAATAGGTGGCAAAATCGTTAGTTTTCCATGTGCTTCGTGCAAAAATGTCTAGAAAACAGTCAATTGAGTTTAAAATTGATTCCGTGATTAAGGAATTAGGTGGCAATATATTTCGCCATACCAAAAAAACAATTCTCTGTGTTAAGTGCTCTACACATGTCAACCACAAATGTGATACAATTAAGAAACGACTTTCAGAACATCTCAACAGTGCAAAACACAAGAAACATAATACACTACAGTCACAAATACTGTTGTTTGAAAATGGAAGCGATTTTGATAAAGAAATGGTTGAAGCATTCACCAGTGCAGATATTCCACTTGAAAAATTAAATAACAAAAAACTGAGATTGTTTCTCGAGAAATATATGAAGAAGCTGATCAAAAGTGTACCAGGTATTTTTTTATTGTAATTATTTTTTTAATGAAGTGTTTATTTTATTGAAATTGATGCTGCTGTTCGCGATTGTGCTCATAATTTAGCTGAAATATGATTTTATTCGAAGTCTCATTGAGTTATTTATTTTTTTAGCACTGTGAACACATCAAAAAACTATCTTCAACTCAGTAACAGAAAAAATTAAGGACAAAATTAATGGACATGATGTCTATTTCAATGTTGACAAAACTAGTGACAAATTGCAACGTAAAGTGGTCAACGTGCTTGTATGAAAATTGAATGGTGAGAAAGCAAAATCAATGTTAATTGATGTGACATTTCACTCAACAGTTGACAACATTATAATAAAGGAATGTATACTCAACATGTCTAGAAAATTGTGGCCAAATGATTTAAAATATTCAAAACTGAAGTTAATAGTGACAGATCGAGCAAAATACATGATAAAGGCAGTAAGTGAGATTAAGAAAAATTCTTTGATTTTTCCAAATGTACATCATGTCATGTGTCTCGCTCACGCCTTACATAACGTTGCATTTAGGATTCAGAATGAGTACAAATTAACAAATTCGCTTATATTAGAAATGAAGAAGCTTTTTGTGAAGTCAAGAGAAAGACAAAATTATTTTAAGAATGCAACTGGAGTTAGTAATCTTCCTCCAGAACCAATTATCACTCGCTGGGGGTCTTGGTTAAACGCTGCAAAATACTATGTCAATAATTTTGATACAGTTGAGCGCTTCATTTTGAATTATAAACAAAAATCTCATTCAAATGCTAGAAATGTTTTGGTGAAACTATTGCAAGTAAAAAAAATTAACCTCAAGAAAGAATTATTTGATCTCCATAATCTTGTCAAGCTATCAAATATTATATCATCACTGGAAAAACAAGGACTTGGTGTAGCTGAACAAGCCGAATTAATTGAAAATGCAAAAGAAATTGTTTCTGGTTATCCTATATTTTCTCAAAAATTGGAAAAAGTTTTGTCAGGTAATCCTGATCTTATCAAATTTATGTCTTTTGATATGAATTTAAGTGATAAAGTTAATAGCAAATACGCTCCTTTAGTTGCAGTCGACATCAAACGTTCGTTCTCATTGTATTCATTGATATTGAGCAATCGACGTCATAGTTTAAGCGAGGATCATTTGAAATATCTAAGTGTAATTCATTTTAACTTTTTTTTTAAATAAATAACTGGCGATTTTTTTGGACGAATTTAAGGTAAAAAATTGGCAATTTTCGCCACAATTTTAGGCCCAAAATCTGGCGAAAACTTTCGGCTCTAGCTAAGTTAATCTGACCCGTGTTTGATTGTTGCGTGTGTGGAAGTTAACTATTTGGAGGACATGTATTTAACGCCTATGTACATAAAATTTATAAAGTTGTAAAGTTGGGATCTGATGTAAAGAACCTGTTTGGAGAGAATTAAAATACTTTGTGCTGTGAATAATATTAAGTGTTTTGTTTTGGTACCATTTCGCTCACGGAATTAAGTACTTCTCGTTACAAACATCACAATGTGAAAATCATTATGATACTTTTTAGAATTGTTTTTAATTTGTGTTGTAAAATAATGTTTTAATAAAGAAATGTTGACTTACTATAAATGGCCCTAAATAAGAAATGTATCCTGAAGATATTAACATATTTCCAGTTAAGTTCATTAATTTATATTCATATCTTTTTATTTTTTCATTCCATTGTTTTTTCTCATCTCTTAATTTCTCCACTATCTATGAAAATCCAAATTTTAATATTAGTCATTCATTTGAATATTAAAAAACATTTAATTAAAAAAAAAGTTATAAGCTGATTTTTTAGAAAAATATAAATTTTTACATACTTTATTTCCTCTACTTAATTTTAATTGAGTGTGACTAATTTCATTATCAAGTTGCATTTTTGCTTTAGTACCTTCCTGAAACTGTTGCTGTAAATGAATCAAGTTGTCTTGCACTTCTTTGAAATTTGCTTTAAAAATATTTAAATTTGATACTTTTGATGCTAAACTCTGTTGTGCTTTAGACAATATTTCCTTGTAAAAAATAAAATTTAGTGTTAATATCTTAAACTTAACATTTTTATTATTAAGAACATAGTTTACAGATTAAATTTAAAATTCTAATTTTATTTCTATCAAAATTTGTATACTACTAAATTGAATGTATATTATTATTACATTGTCACAATAATGGGCTGAAAGTTTTAATCATCTTTTAATCACATAACTTCTGGTCTGGAGCAGAAGTCAAGTGATTTTTATAGTTAATTGGGGTCTCCAGCAACTAAACTTTCCATATCTGGTCTCAATTTTCATCTGTCTAATTCTGTTCTTGAGATTAATGAACAACACATGGATGAATGGACAGATGATAGTGGGATTGTATGTCTGCAATCTGAAAATTGCAGCCCAATAAATTTCAAATTTTACAAAAATAGCCAAATTTACTTTAAAAAATGCAAATTGAAAAACTTTTTAAGTGGAATTTCCTATAACTAGAAGAAAAATTTCTTATTTCTTATAACTATAAGAAATTAAACAATAGAAATTAAGTAATTTTAAACTAATCAACATATACTCAGAAATTATTAAAACAAATGCTATTTTGTTACTTGACCAATTGTAATACTGTATATACAAGGTCTGATCAAAAAGTATCTAACTTTATTTTTTTTTATTTGAACTTTTTGGAAGATAGAAAGGAGACTTAGTATCATGAGACCTTGGACCTATTGCATGTGTGAGAATTTTGATGAGCTTGTCCTACCCTGCAGTCACTGTTAGGCAGCCATGATAGTTGCATGTATATGCTGTTATTGTTGCATTAGTAATTTGGCTGAACATGATGGATACTGATTTCATGAATATTATAACTTTACATGAGACATGAGACATGAGTCTATAGCAGGGGTGGCCAAAACTTGGCGCATTGGACGATTACAAGTGGCGCTTCAGTCAGTTCTGAGCAACATTGCCAGATTTGGCTTCTTTGCAATTATGAATATTACATAGAAAATTAATTTTTTATAGTCTGTCTTGGCAAGTTTATTTGTTGCACAATTCGTTGCAATCAACTTTACAGATAAAATGAGTGTTCTCCACATAGTATATTACACTTGTATGCATGTATGTTTATTTTCGATCAGTTTACAGGTGTCTAAATGACAGTGTTAACGTCTGGACAGTCCGGGAATCGGATTGGACTACTACCGTGTTTCCCTGAAAATAAGACAGTGTCTTATATTAATTTTTGCTCTGAAAAATGCGCTAGGTCTTATTTTCAGGGAATGTCTTATTTTTTCCAGAAAGAAGAATTCACATTTATTATTGAACAAAAAAATTCCCAAGTCGAACTTAGACGAGAGTGACGTATATCCGGTGCGTCGAACTGTCGCCTTTTTATAGCGTTGACATCGGATTCGATGACCAATTAGTGCTTACTGAACCGTAGCACTATGCAAATGTCGTGGCGTGATTCCCGGCCGACCAATTAGCCATCACCAACCGTAATGTTATGCAAATCTGTGATTCCCAAGCCATAGTCTTATGCAAATCATGCCGTGTGGCGTAATTGTCTGCTGACCAATCAGTGGCTGTACTTTCAAAAAGCTGATGGCCACTTTTAACCATCTGTCGATGGCCGTTACGACTAAAAAAACTTCGCTAGGTCTTACTTTCAGGGAGAGGTCTTATATTTCGCAATTCAGCAAAATCTGTGCTAGGTCTTATTTTCTGCGGATGTCTTATTTTCGGGGAAACATGGTAACTTCTTTTCCTGAGTAGTTCCTGCGACATCTGTTGACTTTTTTTGTTTTACTTTTGCCTGTACGATACATGATACATTCGTGTTCATGTACACCACTAATATCGTATAAAACTATTTTATACGGGTAACTACACTACAACCACATTTTTTATTGCTTCTTCTGTAGCAAAACTCAATTTTTGTCTTATAAATTGAAATACCTAATTAAGGGGTGGCCGAAATTTTTCTCTGCCCCGGGAGGCTAACACCCACGGTACGCCACTGCGCATCTGAACTCGTCTATCAAAAAATTGGCGCATGGTATGCAAAAGGTTGACCACCCCTGGTCTACAGGTATGACCCTGATACAAAGGCACAATTATCCCACAGAAAATGCCATGGTCTCCATGGTCAAAGAAGGCATGGCAATCATGCAGCAATGTGAAGATCATGTTGACCATTTTTTTCAACTATGAGGGCATAGATTACCATGAGTACACTCATGGTAATCTATGACCTGATTATTTTGTGACAATTTTGAGATGCTGTTTTGTGCAAGTAATCATAGCTCTAACAATCTGGCAACTGATTCATTCATCATGATAGTGCTCTGGATCATAGATCATGTCTTATCCAGATACTCCTTGCAAAACAGAGTATTGCACAGGTTCAGCAGCCTCCTTACTACCCAGACATGGCTCTGACAGACTTTTGTTCTTTCCCAACTCAAGATGCCATTCAAAGGAAAGAGATTTCGGGTCACATAGGAGATCAAGACTAACACAATGAAGCACCTAATGATAATCCCAATAAATGACTGAAAAATGCTTTTATCAGTGAAAGCATTGCTAAGAAAAGTATGTAAACTCAGAAGGGGCATATTTTGAAGAGGATGAGTGTTTGAACCAAATAGATATGAAGGTATTTTTTCTCTGATCTCAAGTCAAATATTTTTTGATCAGACCTTGTATATTTCATCTGATAAACATGAATTAAAAGTATCTGCATTATGCTTGGCAATTACATCATTCATATAAAAAAAAATCTGCAGTATCAAAATGCAAGAAAATTATGTTTTTTCCAAACACTTCAATATACAACTAGGAATCCAATACAGTAAAATCTTAATAATTCAGTTGTTTGTGAGTTTGACATGTCCAGTAATCCACTGCTAGTCAACTCATGTACAGTATTACCTGAACTATTGCTAAATCGTAGACAAGCCTCCTACTAGTTCAAGATCTGGTTTCCACTAAATTTGAATATCTTCTCACTAAACAAGGTATGATAGTGAGCCTGAACTATAAAGGCTTGAGCTTGGGAACAATATTAAAAGATTGTTAGGCTTGTCATTGTAGGCAGCTCAAAAAAGGTACATCATCTTATTACATAATACTGTATAATGTAAGCCATTATACAGTATTATGTAATCTACCTGACACCTTTGTTGTTTAAACACCCCTATGATAGGTTCCAAACTAGGGTTGCTCACCACTCTCACACTTCTCTCAGTATGATGCGAGAAGATGGAGACATAATAAGGTAGTGGTGACAGACACAAAGACATACACAAATGTACAACAATAATCGTATTTATTTTAAAGGAAAAATTCTTACAATTATTTGATGCTGACACTCAAAATGGATGGGAGTCCAGGTGGGAGTTGATGATTCCAGTGTATTTGAAGACAGGAATGTTTGCTCTGGAAAGTGTTGGATTACCCAGAAGATGGTGGATCTTTTAAGGTTAGATTGGAGGCACAGCAGTGATACGAGGTGGCAGTCAACACAATCTCAATGACTGCTCAACAACTTGAATGTCGACCTTGGAGTTGCTGATGACTCACACTTTGCATTACACAACGACGAATTCAATAATGACAACTTATGGCCTGATCTCAAGGGTCAGTCCTTTTTATCAGATTTAGACCTGAAATCCATGATTTGGACTGGTCAAGATCTGACTCTTCCTTGTTGCTGGGACCAAGTTTTGATCAGATGGGATGGGCGTCTCCCTCATTCCAACATCAGGGCTATCACTTCCTCCAGTGTTTACTTACAAGCTATTACTGCTGGGGTGATAGCCTGTAATTAAGGAAAGAGCAAACTCTCTTGGGTAATGGCTCTTGTAATCAGGAAAGGGAGGTGTTTTATCATCTGAAAGTTGGGACATCTGAACCAATTACTTAATTGTCATGTAAAGTGCTTCCCTCATCTTTCTTTGTATATTTGAACTGGAAATTGCTTGATTTATGAATCTTGACTTTTTCATCAATCACTTTTCCAGCTTAATTTCTCACCATGACATTGTCTCTTCTACTTTGAGTTTAACAAATACATTATCTTTTATGACTCTGTTTTCGAAGATTGCGAAAAAAAAGGAAAGACAAAAACGTAAACAAGTAAGGATGATTTCGGACGTCACAATAAATATAAAAATCAGCCCATTCTCCTAAAATTTCCCACAACATACTGTATCTCTTACTAAACGTCCCACAGTGGTTTCAATTTTCCACTGAATTTAGTGGAAATCCACCAACTTGGTAACACTGATTACTGGCAATGAGAGAGCCTGGATGAAAAAACAAGCAAAAGACAATTGAAAATTACTTTAAAAGAATCAGTAATTAATTTGAAAAATACAGTAACATATGATTGCCCTTCCTTCATATTTCTTGTCATTTTATATGTATTTTTGATTAATACAATGCACTAATACTGTATCTTGCAAATAAACAAATATTTTTGGTTTGGTTTAAAACCTTTGAATTCTTACTTTCAATAATCTGGTAATCTCTTTAATCCAACACTGTTCCAGTCCCATATATGTTGGATTATTAAGACTGCACCATATTTTCATTCAGTTTGAAATTATTAAAGCTTGAATGTCACTGACTCAAAATGAAACTAAGCATTATGACAGTATCAGACATGGTGGTAATAGTTTTATCTAAATCAAATAATCTAATTTCTGTAAGAATAGAGCTATACTATAATGCTTCCTTTGTCACAAAAGTTTGGATAATATGCAATTTTATGCAATGAATACTTAAAAATAGAAAATTCAATTAAGTTTTGTTTATACTGTTTTTAATTAACATATCTATAGTAAAATATTTCTATTATCTTTAATAAATATAAGTAAATAGTAAACACACATAAAAAATATCTTACTTGTTTAGAAGTTACAACTTTAACTGCATTATGATATTCACATATAGCTAGTATCCATTGGCAAAGAATAGCACATGTTTTTGACATCTATCAAAAAATCAAACATTTAAATCAAAATGTAATTTTAAAAATATCAACGTGTTAAATTATTTTGATCTATTGTTCAATAATAAAAAATATCTTTAGGGATATTTCATCAATATACAGTAAATTAACTGAAATATTTTTTGATATATAAGATGTGATCAATACTTTCTCAAACATATTTGGTGCCTTTGGAGGAATTCTACCCTAATTACCAGATCTTGCTCCTTCAGACTGTTTTTGTTTTCAAAAATAGACATTTTTTTCTGTAGGGAAAAACTTTTGAGAATAAGAAAATCACCCAGAAAATTGCAATGAGAACACTAAAGGTTATTCAAAAAAGTGACTTTGAAAAATATTTCCAGTAGTTGCAGACATGCTGGAATAAGTGCATCACTTTAGAAAGAAACTACTTTGAAGGAGATCCAATGGAATAAGTGGTCTTTACATAAATTTTAAAGTAAATTTGTCTGAGAAACTGTTGATTATACCTCATATACGAAGGCTGTTCGGAAAGCTTGCAGCCTTGCCTATATGCGGCGCTGCGATCAATTTAATTTTTGGCGGGCATAATTCAGCCATCTTTGCTAAAGATACGATACCAATTTCTGCTTGATTTGTCAAAAAGTTTTGCCACGACAGCTTAGCAGATAGTCAGTGTGCACATGCTTTATCAAAAATGGAGAAGACGGAGACTTGTGCGGTCATAAAATACCTGACGAAAAAAGGGTTGACCCCATCTCAAATCAAAGCTGACATGGATGAAGTTTTAGGAGAGTCTGCTCCTTTGTACACCACTGTGAAAAAATGGACAGCCCTTTTTAAATCTGGCAGAGAGAGTGTGGAAGATGACCCTCGCAGCAGACGGCCGTCAACTGCTGTCACTGAAGAAAACATCGACAAAGTTCACGATTTGGTATTAGCAGATCGCCGTTTGAAAACGCGTGAGATAGCTGAGACAACAGGCATCTCTGTCGACCGAGTGCACCACATCCTAACCGAAGATTTGGGTATGACGAAGGTCTCAGCAAGGTGGGTGCCGCATCTGCTGACCGCCGAGCAAAAACGTGTTCGCACTTTGATGTCAAAGGAGTGTTTGGACTTCTACCAGAAAAACCCACAGGATTTCTTGCGTCGGTTTGTGACTACTGACGAAACGTGGATCCATTACTACACTCCTGAAACAAAAGAACAGTCGAAGCAATGGAAACACCACAGTTCGCCACCACCAAAGAAGGCAAAGACAGTTCCATCAGCGGGTAAAGTGATGGCCTCGGTTTTTTGGGATGCTAAAGGCATCATCTTTATTGACTACCTAGAAAGAGGAAAGACCATTAATGCTGTCTATTACTGTGAACTTTTGGAAAAACTGAAGAAAGAAATCGAAGAAAAGAGGCCACACTTGAAGAAGAAAAAAGTTCTGTTCCACCACGATAATGCACCTGCACATTCCGCCAGAATCACTGAACAAAAGATAAACGAACTTCGCTTCCAATTAGTTCCACATCCACCGTACTCACCTGATTTGGCCCCCAGTGACTTCCACCTTTTTCCAAACCTAAAAAAATTCTTGGCTGGAAAGAGATTCCACTCAAATGACGAAGTCATCTCTGAAGTGAACGAGTATTTTGCACACCTTGACAAATCGACCTATTGTGATGGCATAAAAAAGCTAGAACATCACTGGAATAAGTGCATTGCTAACAGAGGAGATTACATTGAAAAATAAAAAAGTTTTAACATTATTTTGTTTGTTTTTCTATGTGAGGCCGCGAACTTTTCGAACAGCCCTCGTATTCTCTATTATAATATCTTTAATCAACTTTAATATGAAAAGAATTATATTTTGTGCATAAAATTTGATACTCATATTAATTATTTAATCTATATAAAATAAACTTTTATTGAAAATATTTTCTAAGAAGTATTTTCAATAAATACTTATTTTGTATGAAGTAAAAAGTAATGCAATTTGCTACTTATAATAAATTTTTAAAAATTTATTTATAGTTTTCAAAAATATATTGTTTTAAAATTACTATTAATATTATGCTAATTCTAAAAAATTGTTAATATATTTGAATTTATATTAGGCTAATTAATAAAAATTAAATACTTTTTGTATTATTTTGATGCCAGTTTATGTTAATTCTAAATAAGGTATTTATAATTACAAAATCAAAATACTAATTAAAATGTTATAAATAAATTATGCAAACCTTTGCTATGGCTGTGGGTGTAAAATCTTGACCATCAATGTATGGAGTAATTTTGTTAATGCTTTTTTCAGAAATATCATCCTAAAAATAACAAGTACTCATAATTTTTTCAGAGATATAGTTGAAAATTTTTATAACAGATAGAGATTAAAATATGCAAATGAAATAAAAATAAATATATTTATATCAAAAACCATCTGTAATAGATTCAACAGATGTTTAGTTAATTATTAGGGCTTTTGTTAATATAAATAGAAGCACATTATAATTGGATTTATATCATGTTATAATATAAAAAATATTACATCAAAACACAATCTGTATAATTATTTTTCTTTTTGCAGTACATTTCAAATATTTAAAGTGTACATTTCAATGTAAATATTCTCATGTTTTATCTTTTTTTCCCTGTTAAACTAATAACATAGGAAAAAAGTTAAATATTAAACTTTAGCTATTATAAGTAAAACTTTACAAAACATAAGAAAGTAAATTTCTCTTTTTGAAGCAAGTCCTGTAACTTTGTATACTAAATATCAGCAGAAAAACAAGTTCACTCTTCTTCAAAAATTAAAAAATTACAGTAAGCAAACTAGACATATGTTTAATAAATGGAAACTTGTTTTAATGAATATCATCATCTACCTGAGCTAGTATTTCTGATTAAAGTTATTGTATTATTACTTTTTGTTTACAGCATCTAAAGTTGTAAATATAATATTTAATTTGTTTTAAAAATAAAATAATAGTAAATAATAACAAAAAATATTTTAAATCATATTTACAAGTATGTACTTTAATTAAACAATTTATATGTACTGTATATAATTATCTCTTTACTTCTACAGTAAAACATGCTTGAGATATGTGCTAAGAGTAACATTCTCAAATAACATAACAACAAACTACATGATTACTGGATTAAATTGAGTTATATTACCACTATTATTCAATACCAAGTAATTTTAGATAATTGGCACTAGAGATGATACCTAATGCCTACTTCTAGTGACATATTACTTGTATTTAATAATTAATAGTAGTGGTAATGTAGCCTGATTTAATCCAGTAATTTAATCCAGTTTGGCTTTAATATAATTATTGGGCTTTGTGTTGTTCATATGTATATAAGAACAAACATATTTGCTTCTTACTATTTCTTATAAAATCAATTAAATAAAGATAAATTTCACTTTTAATAATTAACAAGTATAGAAAGATTTGTTAATTTTTGCATTATCTAATTAATTTCAATATGAAGTATTTACAGTGAATAAAATTTAATTGATATATTTCATCATACAAAGTTTCCATTATGAAAATTTTAAAGATTTATATTTACTTTGTCAAAATTAGAAAGATCATCTATAAACTGCTGAGGATCTTGAAGAAGTGATCTACTAGCTTCCCAATATTCAAATAAGCTTTCACCAGATGGAACTTCTACTTTCTGTGGCTTAATTCCCAACATTACAGAAATTACTTCTATTATAATTATTATAATTTCTGGAGGTTTTGTCATAGCATATAACTGTGTAAATAAATTTAAAATTAAATTAATGCATTTCATATTTCAAGTATCAGTTATTTAAAATTGATAAAATTTAATTTACTAATAATACAATAAAAATAATCATTAGTTATGATTCAAATCGATTTAAATGTCAAAGTTGATACTAAAATTTATACTGTTGTTTTCAATTGTTATACAATATTTTATATAAAATTATATATAAAATGAAAACCTCAATTATATCATTTTTATCTATGGATTTTAAACTTGTAAAAGCTGCATCTGTTGATAAATGTGCCAAATCTAAATTCTTTTTAATTTCATCAGCCAATAGCTGAGTTTTCTCTTGTTCTTCTTTAGTTTCCTCATCATCTTTTTCAATTTTGAGTTTCATTTCTTCTACTATTTTCTACATTTAATGAAATAAACAGAATAAATAAATAGTTATATTTATCAATGTAATGTCAACATTCTCTTCTGCAAGGCCACACAAAAACTTATTGACAAAAAAATTGTAATTATTATTTTTCACATATTCCTTTTATTAATATTAACATTAACAATATATATAAATATATATCAGTAATGTAAAATTGAAAAGATAATAGAAAATTTAGTATATCTGAAATTTTTCATAAATTCAAACATTTGTTGTATTTAGTATTATTAGATCTAATCAGAAATCCACATTGAAATTAACAGTTTTAATTAATCATCATATTTCAGATAAACTGATTTTTATACCTGTTCTGAAATAATTTGTTCATTTAATCTTTCTAAATTTTTCTCAACTTCAATAAATTGTTGTTGCTTGAATTCTAATGCTTTTTCTGTTTCAGACAATTTTTTTTCTGATAATGATAACTATAAAAATGAAGTTAAAATGTTAATTACTATAACAATAATTAAAACAAAATAAAATTCAATAAAATAAAGCAGATAAACCTTAGCTAATCCTATTTTCATGTGATTGATTTCAAAATTTAATTCTTTTCTTTTGTCGTTCAAAAGATGAATAAATGTTTTTAAAAACATAATGTATTTATTTGGAGTAATATAAACAGTGTAAAGCATTTTTTGGAAATATTTATGAGAAAAATGAGTACATGTCTGATGTAAATCAGAACAAACTTCAATCTGCAAAAAAAATTAATAAATAATATAAAATTTTTTACAAATAAAACAAACAGTATCTTAAAAAGCTATTTTAATTTATTTTTAACATATATAATAATAAAATAATAATTTTTATAAATATTGAACATTTAAAATTAATAGATAAGCTGAATTTCTTTGTATATTCTTATTTCAATTTGAATTACATGTATAATTTGAAACAAATATATTCTCAGACATAGATGACCAAGAACAAAATACTTCAAAATATTCAAAAAATTAAAAATTTGACAATTTTAAACAAAATATTACACATTCATCCATACCAGGGATGGGAAACCTACTCAAACATACATGCTCAAATTAACACATCAGAAAAATCATCTAGCACATAACATATGCAATTTCAGTTTATCACCTGATCATCATTTTTCAATCAGCTTATTTACATTTATTCTAATTAAAACATATTTGTTTTATTGTTTTGAATATCATTATTCAGTCTAAAACTTCAGCATGCATAAATATTTTCAAAGATAAGTTAAACTTTAGCTATTATAAGTAAAACTTTACAAAANCAAAAAGGTTTCCATTCCTGTTTTATATATAATGAAGTTGAACAATATACCATGTACAGTACATAGACAAACAGATAAACTTTGTAATCTTTCAAAACAAAATGCCAACTATTACTAATAAAAGTTTAAATTTTAAACAAATTAAATAGAAAATTAAAATTTAATAAATTTATTATAGATGCAAAAATCATTTATTGTTTAAATTTTAATATATAAAGAACTAATTCTACTTTTTTAAAAATGTATTAAATATTTGAAAAAAGTCAAACCAAACTTTTGAAATATACAGTATTTCCAATGCAACCATAAAAAAAAATATCTTACTAGGCAAAAATAAAAAGTACAATATTTAGCATTAGAAAAGTTTTTTAATCAATTTATTATTATTTTTACTTCAACAGTATTATTCTTTGTAAAGTTGTTTTGATGAAAGGTGTTTTAAAAGTTCATAGCTATTGTAAAATGTGCATGCGGTGAGTATAATCCAACAAGAGGATAAGAATTTAACATGCAGCTATATTATTTCTTCATCCATATTTCTTTCCTTTACAGGATTCTTTTATAGATTCCAACACTCCTCGTTTTTGTTCTTTTACATAAAATTTCTGAAGATACTTGGACAGAATCATTGAGATAAATCTCGCAACAAAAATCAACCGAAGATATTCACCACAGTACAAAAAGGAACTATGGTTAAATACTTAAAACTACTTGTACAAAAAAAAGGAAAGGAAGAAAGGATAGACAATAGGGTAGATGGATATATAGTGATAGTAAAGAATGGGTACCCAAAGTTGTAAACGATCTTGGGGTGATGGTGGTGATTGCTGAATTATTAACTCTGAATTGTAGGGATTTATGATTGTAAAACTTTATCAGGTTCTATCAAACTTTATCAGCTTCTGAAGATCCTTATATCAAGATATTTTGGACTACTCTCAAATGCTAGCTTAGGCTTATCTTCTCCTTTGTTCTCCAGTCGATGCCAGAACTATCTGGAGGACCTCATGACACGTCCCAGCTCTCCAACATTCAAGCCAAAAAGTAAAGACTTGTCCTACACTTAGCCCTCAGGGCTACCCCTTTCTTTTGTCTTGTACTTAGGTCACTACTACCCAAACAGGGAAGGGTTAGGGAAGAAGTTTCTAAAGGTGATAGACAAAAGAACCAAGAACACAGTGGAAAAAAATGAAATAAATACTAAGAATAGTATGTACAGAAACAAATATCAAGCAATTTGCCATCATCAAATATTTCTTCAAAAAAGCTCCGACTCTAATCAAATTTACCAATATGAATAATATTTTGAATAAATCTGCTCCACATTTTCAATGAAGAAAAGATCTATATTAAAAATGAGTGAAATTTCCAAAGAAACATACCAAATTTGGAATTAAATTTTTATTCTCGATTATGTCAGGATTATCATATATTATAGAAGATGCAATTTCTTTCAGTGCTTCTGGTGGCCACTCGAGAAACCAATCTATAGCACAACACTTAATTAAAGCTGGAAACTGTCTTAATCTATTTTGAAATTTTTCTTCATATCTATAAAATAAATAAATTTACTTTTACAAATACAGGAAATTTAAAAAAATTATTGTGAAATATGAAGTACGGGAAGTGGATAACAGTAAGACATACTATAAAACCACATATATATATATATAGACCATGGCATTCTTTATGCAGAAACACAGTGACCAAACAGAGGCAGCATAACAGAGATCTAGTTCATAAACCACTACCATTAAATAAACATCATTTTATCATGATGCAGCATATTTTCGACAAATTTTTTTGATTCAATAATTTCATATTCTCTTCTTATTTTATGTAAACATGTATCATAGAAAAGTTTTGGTAGGTTTCTTGCTGGTTTAACAAGGTTTCTATTGGTGTGCATACATTTCATGCACACTATATTAAGCATAATGGAAAAAATATTATTATTGCTGCAGGTAGCAGTTAATAGTGAAAGAGTTTGTCTCACTGTTACTCCCACATTTCCATAATATTGAATTCAGATTTTGCACTGAAAACACTTTTGTTAGTGGAGTAAAATAAAGTACAAGTAAACTAAATTAAAGTTTAATAATATAAAAGTAAATAGAAATAAACCAAAGTATAAAAAAACTAAAAGTAAAAATTAGTAGCAGGAAAAAATAACTAATTATAATCACTTTTGCTTTAAAATAAAGCAAAAGTGTAATAAAAATTATTTTGTTTTATTATATTGAGTTCAATGTCTCTTCTGAGAAGTTTTTAAGTCTGTCTCACTGTATCTCATAAATGGGAATAGTGAAAGAACTTTTGAGTACATAGACCTTAAATTTTGTAGAACAGCAAACATACAAGATGCCAATGTAATACATATTATGCTGTATAAGTATGTTAAATTTCATTTTAAGCAACTAAGCAGACTTTAATATAGTAGTGAAATAAAATGAAATAAAAAGAAAAGTGTTTCACTATTACCAACTTTTCCTGTCATGTTAATATTATGTTTAATTTAACATCTTAAAATATCTTATTACCAGATTTTAATAATCAGATTTTGCTACTGATAGTAATAGGAAAGAAATTATATTTTGTATACAACTAAATTTAAAAAATTGCCTGTTATTTTTAAAAATCATTATTCATACATAACCTTTGAAAATGTTTTATGTAGTTTACACATTTATAGATAGATTTTGTATGTTTACAAAAATAAATTTATTGTATTATCATGCTTTCCAATAAATACCTCACTAAATTTATAAATGAATATCCATTTATAAATTTAGTGTATTTGGATGATTTGGATTTAGTGTATTTTAGTGTAAATTTAGATATTAAATTATTTATTTGGATATCCATTTATAAATTTATTGATGGCTATCCAAATAAATAATCCTATTGTGGCGATACGCCATGCCTATGTACAGTACATAGGGGTTAGATATAAGTTTTATTTTTTTATCTAAATCTTTTCTCTTTCACGCCTGTTTCTAGAACTTTCTAACTTATTCTTTCTATACGTGTGCGGGATAACCTTTGTCCAAGGACGAAGGGAGAAAACAAAGGAATACTAAGAAGCCCTGAGGAAAAGAAGAAAAAGTCAGGAAAAGAAAAAGACACATTTGCTGGTCAGCGTCCGAGGACAGCAGACGAAGAAAGAACAAGTTGAAGTTTGTCGCCGAGTGGGACAAAGGAGAGGCTTGAAGTCATCTGAGAATGGACAAATTAGATGGACACCAAGATTGAGGGCTCCGAGAACACCTTGAATTCTCAAGAGCAGGTACAGAAAGGAACCAAGAGGAAGGCTAATTAAGCACAAGTTCCAACATAGAGAAGATCGGAGACTGTCAAAATACCCGGGTACCCCACCAATCTTTCCTTTATACTTTTCTTATCCCTTCGTATATTTTATTTTCCACTCTTCTTCTTTAGTATGTAAGTTAGGTTAAGGTTGTTTAAGTTAGTCATAATATTGTGGAGATATCTCTCAAAGTAAAGCTTTGTTGTCGCGAACATGTGTCTCCCGCCTTTGTAAATATAAAGAGTATATTGGGCTGTGTCGAAATTATAGAGTTAGTTTGGGATCCAAAAGAACTGGGTGTAAGAAGGACCACGTGAAAAAACAAAATAAAACCCTGTTTTGTTTATTGTTACAACTTTGTAATCCATTGTTTGTCCTCTACACCACCACACTATATCTACTATGCAAATCATTCAATTTCAAAAGATAACTGAAAAATTATGTAATGCCAGAAGTTGCAAAGTAATTTTTTAAAATCATTTTTTAACTAATTAGCAAAATTGTATTTTGATAATTAATAATAAATAATTTGCATATTTAATAACAATATAGATTTTTATGTATATTAAACATTAATGATAATTATAAGTAATTTCACTATTTTAAATATCATATTAGTTTTCATGTACTAAAATCTTTATTAATTAATACAAACTTCAAGCTACAATACATCCTTAATTTAATTGAAAAAATATTTATCTTAAATTTAGAACCTTTTTTTTTATTTATGATTATTGCAAGCTAAAAGATTGGGCCAATGAGTCAGCATTAGTGGTTGAAACACTCCATTAATTACATTGTATAGTTTTTTGATATGTTTAATTAAAAAAGTTAAGTATCTGTCATAAATTTATTTGTATATTTTTAACAAACATTTTAATAGAATGTATAAATTACTCAATTTTGAACTATTAAATAACAAATGAACATTTTATACTAGTTGATGTTTAAATGAAAAAATTGTTAAAATGAAATGAATTGATATGAAATGTTCATTCCATAAATTTAAATATTTATTTGAAATAATTCATATTAAATGATATCAGATGGCAATATTTCAGAAAATATTTATCAATATTTATGAAATGATATCAATCATTACTACTTGAAATATTATCGTTTGATATCATTTATTATGAATCATTTTAAATGAATATTTTGGAATACAAAATTATCAGTGGCGTGCCATCATTAGAAGCGTTGGAAGTGCCACTTCCCTTGTATTCTCTAATAAATAAATAAATATTAATTTTAATTATATGAAAATAATCGCACAATAACAAATCATGGGAGATTTTATTCATACCTTTCAAGATTCAAGGGCACATCAAACTCAAGATGTCTTATATGTGATTGCAACGACAGCAGCGATCATTATATTTATACATGCCCTATGCTAGAAAATGAAAGATTGATTTTAAAACTGTTACTTGAGTCTCATGATCTCCATTGGCCACCTCCCACCTTAGAACGTCTCTTTGATCACAAAGATACCTTCGATGCCTTTGTACAACTCGTTAACATGTATTTTGTAAGGACCAGTGTACCAGCTTATTCTGGCCATTAATGGCCAACTGTTGGTTAGTGAAAATATAAATTACCCTAATATAATTATTTCGTGATTGTACTTGTAGTCTGCATTTTCTTTTGGAAGGTTTAGCATTGATACCATGGGTTCTCTATCGGCGTTTTGTCTATTTTATTTCTTTTATTATTATATATTTTACATGTTTTGTTGTATTCTCGTTAACACACTTACCCTCGTTATACTTATGTGCCCTACTCTTTTTATAATACTTGATTGGCCGTACTTGTGAAATATTTGCTTAAGGAATCTGGTTTTGACTTTGTATTACTATGCCCAAAAATATGTCACATCATTGACGAAAGACTTCAATAAACAACCAACGTATGTGATCATAGGACATCATAGATGCTGTACAACTGTGTTGAAACTCTATACAGTGTCCTTCATCGATAGGTCTAATGCACTGGTTCTTCCCTAAATAATATATGATGTTATGTATTTGTGCTCAGAAATGTGTCTCATCAATGATAAGAGACTTCAATAAATAATCAAAGTATCCATACATTGAACGTCATAGATGATGTACAACTGTGTTGAAACCTTATTTAGCGTCTTCCTTCGGCTGGTCTACTGTTCTGGCTGGACTACTACTCTGGTATAATTCCACAAACGTTGTGCAACAGTGATATTCGAGAAGAATTTGTCTGCTACATATGTGAATTAAGTGCATCTACTGGCATTGTGATTCTGTATCGGCGTTTGCTTCTCATGCATACATAAGAGGCAAATTTTGTGGATAACAGTGGTGTGCCTGGAGCTGTACCATGGCAATAAGAATCACACAAGATATACCTGGAGCTATGCTAGCAGCAAGATTTATAAGGAAGAGCAAAGGCGTTGGACAACTAATTCTGGAAAATCGTTGACAGAGGACTATATTCTAATAAGATCTGTATAAGTCTCCTGGTCTGGATTGTGCAGGAGTTTCACTTCAGCAGAAAAAAAAAAAAACTTTTATCTAGTCTGATTCGAAAACCTCTGCTGAAACAGAATTGCCGCGTAAGATAACAAAACATATGTTCCTCGTGTAACTATATAATGTTATGACTCTGTCACATTTCCAGCAACTTTTATGTTTTAAATTTATTTTTATCTATTTATACTTATTAATGTTTTGCACGCGTGTATAACCTCATATATATAATTGTACACGCGTTAATTAATTTTATTTACGTTAATAATTAGTTATCGAAATCTTCAGTGTAAACTATGTAATTTCCTGTATACACCCGGTAATACTTAGTGGCACCGGGATATGCCATATGGCATATTGATCAATAAATATCTGTATCTGTATCTTTATCTGTAATCGCACAATATTTTATTATAACCGCATTATGTAAATTATTACAAATTTCTATACTACACGTGGAAAAAAAAATTGCTATTGTATATTAGAATATTAGTGGCAGAGTGGAATCTCCTGTATTTTCAGATTACGAAAAGCCAGATTTGCGCATGTGCTTTACAGAGCACCAACCTCACCCGGTTTAGCCGGTGGAAGCCTACGACCTTGGGTGAAAGCTGCACACATATAAAGATTCCAATTCTATCAAGGACTGGTTCTGGGCTGTTAGCTGCCTGCCCACTAGATATTTCGATTACGTGAATAACGAGTACATTTATAACTTAACCCAACCGATAAGAATTTACTATGTTTTTACGATAGTTCTGTATAGTTGACGGAGTTAAAAAAATCCATTAAAATATTTGATATATTTATTCCGCTTTCCGATTTTATATTACGGATTTCGATGTTAAACTGGTGATATTACGATTTCGTACATCCCATCTTTAAGGGGATGTAGAAAAAAACGTGTACAATTCTTGTATTGATATAATGTTAAAAAATTAACTGTTACTTTGGTAGCATCATTTACAACTAAATTTAATGAATGAGAGAGATGCACGAGGTACAGAAAAGGCTCTAAAGTTTATTTTCCTTAAATTTACCATTTACGTATCCGTTTGTCATAAAAATTTGTCTTTCCACTTTTTCCCGAGACTACAAATATTCAAGTACAAAGTAACTGGTTTTGACTTATTTCTACTTAAGAAGTAGTTAAATAATTAAGCGATTAGGGAATTGGGGACATAAACAAAACCCTGACGAAAGAGCCGGAATATTACTTAAACAAAAGCTTAACTGATCCAATCTATAGCCAAGTACAGTGGGGACTGATTTCTTCGAAATACTGTATTAGATGTAATAAAGACAGAAGTTTTTTCGGTTCGATGAGAGTGACCGAAAAGTTGTAAATTTTGGAAATTTCCGTGGACAACACCTGGTCCTAAAACGAATTAGAAAACAAAAGACAGACAATCTATTAAGTTTAACATTTAGACTTTTACAGCTATGGTGAGAAACGTTTAAAATTTACAAGAACCCTGTCGAGTCTTTTGAGGTATATTAGTGATGCGACAAAAGAAGTATTTGACATTGCCAAATCCCGAGGGTATCGGCACCCTCGGGATTTGGCAGCCTGCGTGCATGTACAGTACACACCGCACACCTAGCAGGACCGTCTCCGATTCCACTCGTAGGGAGCTATTTGACTAAGTGGTTAAGATTTAAAGAGTAAAGAATATTTTATGTTATTTTCATGTACGTTTCATTACAAAGTTATATTTAATTATAATTTTCTTTAAAAGTATATTCATACAATTGAAGAATGTTTTGTACCAGGTATGTATATCCACCACACATTTTATTTCACCAAGTAAGTTTTTATAATTTTATTTTTAATTTTAGCCCTTATATCGTGGCTAGCGATTCGGAATGTAATTGCGATATTGAAAATTTATTTTAAAAAAGTTTTGGCTCGAGATCATATAATGAAAAAGAAAACATTATTAAAAGAGAACGGCCAATGCCTAAGTTAAATATAAACGCTTCAATAAAAAAATTTGTTCGATATTTTCACGATAAAATGGCTCTGTAAATGCATAAAAATGCATTTACAGAGTGAAATTAGTGTGTGGAATAAGAATGGCTTTGACAATTTAGCTGGCAAAAGACACGAAAAATCGTCGATTCTTTCGTATTTGAAGCAATTTGGAAATCGAAGCGGAATAGAATTTAACATTAGTAAATAATATAAAATAAATATTGAAAATTGTAACGAGATAATTATGGGTAATAGATATATTATATCTAAATAAATAGATGTTATATGTTTTTATCAAAGCAAGAATTGGCATTTAGAGGGCATATGGAATATATTGGATCTAATAACAGAGGTAATTATAATGAACTTGTTTATTAAGTACGTCGGATAAATAATCTATTAAAAATACATTTAAAGAAAGAATTAACTGATTGCCCCTGGATGTCGGCTTCTTATTGAAACACAGCTTCCCTATCATCAAATGTCACGGCACGCCCCTGAAAATTATATGTGAATGGAAAAAAAATCTTCCTTAGTGCAGTTTTAAATGCATTCTTTCACCTGCACTAAACAAGGAATATACTTAATAAAAAAAGTTTTTCACTTTTAAAAATAATTAAAATTGACCTAATGAAGTAAGTAAATGAAATGTAAAGATATTATTAAACCTGAATTTTTATTTATTTATTTTGAACTAAATTTTTAAATGATTTTGTTAAAAGAGAAAAAAATTGTCCAATAATGTTTGAATTACCTCCTATTCTTTTTTGTATGAAGCATTTGGTAGCAATAAATTTCTGTTTGAAATGCTCTTCATGCATTAATTTTGCATTCTTTGTTTAGATCAAGGGTGCCAAACCTGTGGCACATATGCTCAAAGTGGTAAGTCAGAAGAAATCAACAGACATTTAACATATGGTTTTGGATTATCACCTGATCATCCTTTTTTTCAATCAGCTTTTTAAAATTTATTCTAATTAAAGCATTTTGTTTCCTTTCTTTAAATATCATTATTTGAAATCTAAAACTTCAGCAGGCATAAACATTTTTAAAGATAATTGTGGAGGTGCCACACAAAAGCAAACAAATCCACAAAAAATCAAAGTTGCGTTTATAATTGACTTTTTTCTTCAGCCTCATTCCTATCTACCATTATAGTCAGTTTCATTCAAAAAAATATTTATCCAACACTTTTTGAGCTTTGAAAATTGACGTTCTGTGCAAAAAAAAACATCTCTCTACATGTGTTCCAAGCAGAACAAAACATATCCATTGCAGTCTGCCTCAGCCAATGAAGAGCTATGTCTTCCAGAATGCAACAGGTAGTTTTGTTTTTGTTGTGTCATTTTGTTGTTCTGTTGGAACAGAGAGATTTTGATGTTAAAATGTTATTTATTAGTACACATTTTATTATACAGTGTATTTCAGTGTTATAATTGAGTGAAAATGGATGAAGATAGTTTGATAAGTGTAGATGAAGGCAATGTCGGATCTAGAAAGAAATCTAAAACTGTTGGAGTACAGGCAAAGAAGAAAATACAAAAATACAGTGCTCCTTTGGGATGAGATTTGAGGAGCCAGTCAAGCAACTACCTGTAGGGCACCCTCTGTCAGCTGCCAAGAAAAAAGACATTGAATCACTTTTAAAGACTTTGTATGGCAAGTAATGAAAAAATGATGAGATTTTCATGGTATAAACAAGTGTTATGAAACAGAACCAAGCTTGAAGCAGATAACCTGGAAAAAAAAGAAAATAATGGGAACCTGTGTGATTGCTTGGGAGAAGATATTTATTGTTCATCCCTATTTTGTAAAATGCCATGTTTTTTTGATAAGTCAAAGTAGTAGCCAGTATAACAAAGTGAAAAAAGAATATAATGGCCAGGCAAAAGAAAACAAATCCTAACATAGTTCATGCAAAAAAAAAAAAAAACATAACCACCCTGTGCAAGCAAAACGAAACATGTCCATATTTTAATGTCATATAATTAAATACTAACTGTATTCCTATCAAAAACTGCCTTCAAATATTGACGTTAGATACAAAATGAAAAAAAATAATAAATTTTTACAAGTGTGAGGTGTAAAATAAATTCAATAACAGTTTTTTGCATTTTTCCAACAATTGTTTAGAGTGAACTTGTTTGCTTTTGCATGGCACCTCCACAATTATGCTTACTATATGGCACACAAACTTGAAAAGGTTTAGATTCAAAATTAAATCAGAACCAGTGTCAAATATCTTAATTAAACATTTTTTGAGTAACCAAAAACTTGATAAAAATGTTTAGGCTACAACTGTCATCAACAATTTTGCTAATGAAACTAAATTGCTACCTGCCAACCAGCATTGTTTAGTATAGTGTAATTTCTTTTGCTTTAAAATTTTTCAGAAATCAGTAAGTAGATATTGTGTGCAAATATGAATTTCTTTGCATTGTAGTGAATCATTCTATATTAACTAAATCCTCTTGTGCATATTATAAAGAAAACTATAATGAAGCCCATAATATATAAAGTTACATTAAACAAGGTATTCTGGTATTTTATATCAATTACTAGAAAAATATTCAAATGTCAATTTGTATGGAAATAAAATAAAATTTTCTAATTCAAACTCTAACCTCTTTTTTCTTTAGGATATCATAAAAAATATAAAGTTATTTTTAAAATTAAAGTTATTTTATATGTGCTATTAATTGCTTCTAACTAATTGTAAATATTTTAAATTAATTACAAATTATTCAGTTGATTCTAATTGCAATATCTACAGATATCAAATGATGTAAAGTCAAGTCATTTGAAATATTACTAAAAACCTATAACATGTAAAATTAAAGGATTCCAATGTAACTATAAGTTAACTGATTTCAAATGCTCTCCTGACAAATCCAATTTATATCATCTAATATTCATTTAAATCTTTTTTAATTATATGAAATATTAAATAATAATACCAATTAATATTTCTGTAGGAAAATATATAAGATACAGTGAATACTTAATAAAATAAATAGAAGTAATAAATGAAATTTTAGAAATTATGCTATATCATGATTTAATTGATAAATAAAATAAACTTAATTTTACCTCAAGGTTATTATAGTATGAAGACAATTACTGATACGTGATATAAAAGAAGAATAAAAATTAGACTTTGAAAATGGTATTTTATTTTCCATTAAAACTGGCCTTAATGAAAAGCAAATTTCATTTAGATCTTTTTCTTCCATTAGATTCAATATATTATTAGAACTAAGTAAATTACATATAATATCCATAAATTCTTCAGAAACAACCTGTAATGAGTTTAAACATTTATTATTATTTTTTTAATTTAGTGGTATAATAGAGTATATTTAGAAATTTAACATACCTCATCATCACTAAAATAAAACACGATATTTTTATGTTTAATTCCAGCATTTAAAATTATACTTTTCACTTCTTCTTTCCATTCAGTTTGATTTGAGAATACAAAATGAAAAAAATCAAAACCAGTTCTATATACATAAATAAAAATTAATATTTAATACAAAAATATTTTGCACAGAAATAAACAAATAAATATATATAAGATTATATTAAATCTAATAAACTAACATGTAAGTAGCCAGTCGACTTAAACTTTGTCGTCCAGAACAGTTTATTCCCATAAGCAAACAGTTTCCTTGTGGCTGAGAAAGAATTCTACAGATACGACATAAATGATTAAGAGCATTTTCATGTAAAATCAATTCTAAAATTGTTGATGTAGATGTCTGGTTATATTCCTCCACATAGCTACTAATAACATCCTTTAACTAGAAAAATTAATTATACATTATAAAATAATTATTTATAAATTATAAAATTATTATTACAGTAAAATTTACCTTTTTTCTGTCTTTAATCTCTTCATATATTTTTACTTCATCTGCTGTATTCATAAAATTTCCAAATAATATAGGTTTGTCAAATGTGAAATTAGAAAAATTTTCAAAGAACTCTGTTTGTAATATTTTTAATGCTATATTTTCAAATTGATGACAATCTTCAAAATTATTTAATCTATCTAGAAAAACACGGTAACATTCATGGATCCAGAGACGCAAAACTGATGTGATATCCTATTATAATCAAATTTTTATATGAGATTCTTATCAAAGAATATAAAACAGTTTGGTTTATTTAAAGTTTCACATATTCTTAAATATAAATGAAATTTTTTTTCCAGTTATACTGAATTTGAAATTAAAATAAATGTTTCTGTACAATATAAACTGTTAATAGAAATGTTTCATATTATCAAGTAGGACTTAATCAAATACACAGTTATTTTATTTAAATGTATAAATTCAGAATAAAATACTTTATCTAAATATATAAAATTACTTGTCCTGACTGACTGAGTGATTGATTCATCATTGCCCAAAGCAAACCACTGAACCTAAAGAGGTGAAATTTGGTACACAGTTAGGGTACATCATGAAAACGCACACTAAAAAGGGATTTTTCAAAATTCCTCCATGGGGAAGAGGGAGAGCATTAAGGCTTAACCTGAAGAATGGCTTCTACTGTACTATTTTAGATGCAATTTTCTGTTTTCAACTACATTTAGTCTTCATTGAGTACTTAGGTGTATTAAATTGATAACATTTCAGACATTGTTATAAATATTTTTATATATTTTGATTTTTTAACCAAATGTTCAAACCATTTTAAATTTGAATTTGTTATTGCACATTGGTTCAATTACAGAATGATTGTAAACGTTCCAGAAAATTGATCAAATTGAAAACAGTTTATTTGACTCTCAGCAATTCTCATTATTCTCAGCAGTACGTGTTATATAACAATTACTATGGTTTTTGAAATACTGAATATAAATGGGGTTTGCTTGAAAAATCTGTGCGGGCAAAGTTGCAAGTAACAGCTAGTTAGTTTTATATGCAAAATACTGAATTTAATTTAAATCCCAAGTATATTAACGAAAATGTTTATAAATTACTGTAAACATATTCTATTGTAAGTTTATTAATGATTAAAAACTAATGTTTTATGTTCTAAATTTAGACATAAAATTTCTTTTTCTTCTGTAAAGATTTTCTCAATCAAAAGTATAAAATTAATGCTATAAAAGAAATATTTAAAAGTTAAACAAAAATAAAAAGTTATTTAAATAGAGGAATATCTAAAAATGATATTCCACGAGCTAACTGATTTATAAACTAGCATTAAAATGTGAAATTTTTATTTTGAACATGGCATATCTAAAATTAATTATAATTATATTTTACAATTGTATTCAGTCATGCAGCTAGGAATAAATCATTGGGGGACTAGAAGGGCAAACTGAAAAAACTGTGACTGATATATTTCTTTTCTTTCGTTCTTTTTTTTCCTGCCAGCACTAGATCTATTAGCAACAGTTTAAGTATAAAAATAAGTAACAATACCCTAAGTTTACATGATGAAAGTGAAAGAATATATTATACAAGTATAATATACTTGTATAATATAGCATATAGACACTACTAAGCCAAAAAGAATTAGTCAAATCATAACCCTTCATAGCTACAGGTATAAAATATAATGAGAGTAAATATAAAAGTGATAAATATGTGTTCCTTCTATTTTATAAGTTTTAAGAATTAAACAAAGTTAATAAAATTAAATAAGAGTTCATCAAATCTGCTTCTTTTGACTAAAAATATAAGAGAAATTAATACTGATAAATATTAATTTCTCTTATTTACAGTACATAAATATACATAAATATAATAGAAAAAAATTTTTAAAAAAGTACCAGAGTTACTGATTAAAAGAAAAGCACAATTGTTGATATAATTTATTATACAGTTTTAAATTCTTAAAAATCTATTATGCTAAGTTGTAACATACTGAATAGTTTTTTTATTGTTTAAAGCACACTACATTTATGTAAATATTCTGTTTGTTTTTATTTCATGAATTTTTCTGATACATATGTAATAGATAAAATATATTTAAAAAACAACATCTAATTATATAATATACTATGCATGTACTGTACTGTACATACTATTGTGAAGGTCCGAAACCCTTTTTCTGTTTTAGATCAGTACAAATCTAGGAATTTTCCTAGTAAAAGAGAAAAGGGGGACTTCTACGGTCAATGACCGAGACGCTCTCCTCAAACAAGAAAAAAACGGAGAATGTTAAAATATCAATAAGAGAAATCATCTCTATTTGTTTAACAGTTATTCTATAGACGTTAGTATCAACAAGAGGGGAATAAGAGATATTTCTTATCACCTCTTGGTTGCACGTAAAACGTGGTTACAGCAATAAATCGCCTTGTTCATAGTCAAACTCGACGTTTGATATAAACAATAACTAAATAGTTGACCAGGTTAAAGAAATTATTGTCAAATGATTGTTAATTTATGGATGAGAGCCATCAAACCTATAGGAATTTATATCATAAAATCATATCATTTTGACACCAATAACAATAAATTAGACAAACTTCGCTGAGTCATTTGTCCGAACTAGTTAGATCCAAATATCAACACACTAGCAGGTGTGCGGATAAATCATGAATAACGTCATAGTTCTCACCCCCTCGAAATCAGTATAAAGAGGGCTCCCGGCCAGTATCGGGGTGGCCTCC